TATTTCCGAGCGTACACGGATTACGTGCATAATAGAACCACGCTATTTTGTGTTGTTTCGTTGGAATCCTGATGTGCGGCAAAGTATAAACCGTACGGCAAAGTATAAACCGTACGGCAAAGTATAAATATGCAGCAATTAGCAGCTTTCTGTACTATAAACAGTACAAGGAAGCCAACTTTGTCGGGTGACTGTAGGAAAAATTCTTTTATTCCTTTTAAATACGATTACTCATAAGGTTAACATGGGAAACCCCAGAGCCACTGGGGCGGAGCCCGAAAGGACTTTTAAGATAAGAATGCGTCTATATGTTAATCGGGAATGTGAGCTATCATCATACCAAATTTCAGCCCAATCCGACCGGTATTTTTTGCGTTTACTTGTCACAAACATACATTTAAACTTTCTCATTTATAATATTAGTAGGATAGGATTTGAAAAAAAAAATATTTTTATGTACCTTATAACCTACTCTAACTTTAATGGTAGCCTATAATAATCATGGTAACACAATAGTTACAATAATTATATTAATTTTCAAAAAGTCACAAAAATTTTACCTACATTTTTTACCAAAAATATTTATTTGTTGTTGTACAAGGATGATTATGCCATTACTTTTAGTACATGGTATGGGGGTGATGTGGTAAAAATTTTAATAGGTTAGCTGAAATACTCTTTATTTCATTTAACAAAATGTTATAAAAACATGATTTTTGGGAAATCGTACCCAAGGTCCGTGAACAGCTGGTTGTCCCCAGTTGTCCCAAACCAGCTGTTATCTCGACCAGCTGATTACTTATTTTATTCATATCTTAGGTGCACTATAACATTCAAAATGTTAGTGTTTACAATAGCTATATGTGATGAATATAACCTTAATATAAATAGAAATTATTCTATAATTTATTAGAGAATATATAGATGTTTTTTTTTATACTAAAATTTTGAAATTTACCACTTTTGTGTCAATAGTAAATATGGTCAGATATACATGAAAACTTATTGTCAAAATCATAAACAATAATAAAATGTAATTTTTTACAAATTGTAAAAAATAAAAGCACCCATTTTGGTGGTGATGATGCCGCCTGATCCTAGCATGAAATAATGTGTGTAAAATAATTCCGAGCTAGACGTCCCGAGATGTGAAAGTCGGACATATACATACTAGTGTATTCTAATAAAGTTGTAAATTAATTTATAATTTAAAAGAGTGGTCTATTGTTGGGAATGTTTTTTGGGATGACAGTCGAGACCTTACCTTCATTGCAGAGCATTATTGAATACGGAGGTCATATTCAATAGGATCATTGATTGTAAGGACACAACGATATGTTTTTAAATTTTGATTACATTTTAAGAACATAGTTTATGTTTAGAGACTTTTTAAAAGCCATTCATATTTCCTCGGATTGTAAACACGAGTGCGTAGGTTTGCTGTGTGTTGCACTCGAGCAAGATCTTGAACTATATTTTTTTACTATCGAGTTCGAGTAACACTAACAAAGAACAACAAATGCTTGGAGTTTCTGAGCGCTGCGCCAACTTGGGACTACTCCAGGATTCACAAACATGAGCCTTCATTGAATTAAGTGCAGAAAGACTAGACAATGCAACAACCTTGTATTTACATCTCGTCAGACTTTGCATAACCTGAACCTACACAGCCTTATTTATGATTGCGTTTTGGGGTTGTCATGGTTTGACTGACTGAGCCAAACTGGGATATAGGCCTACACACACGGTCTTTTGAATTATCTTAATTATATCTTTTGAACTCATTAATATAAACGTAGGTTTACATGATTGTACCAAAATAACAAATACCAATATAGTCCTATAAATATATTTCATCAGAGTTTGTTTAAAACTATGACAAATGAACCATAAGAGACACAGTTCAAATCTAAATCTATATATTTATTTCCGTAAGTGAATCGGTCCCTGCAAAATATCTCAGGCTAGAAAAAATTTAGTATGGCTGTTGAGGATTCATTTTAAAGCTAAAGGTCAAGGACCAGGACGGTGGGAAAATTATCAGAAGTGTCAAAAATTACCCCTGCTCTGCCCTACAGACTGTAAAAGATCCAGTCATTGTCTAAGACTAGTGGCTAGTCCCTGCCCACCAAATCTGTTCGGGAGCGAAACTTCTACCCTCCAGCTATTCTGATTGGCTGAGGGAACACCATTACCGCAACGATACGACATATTTTCATAATTTTCTCTTTAACCCAAGAAATCAAAAGAGAGACATCAAAACAAAAAAGTCAATTCAATCAGGCAAATGAAAATTCCTTTAGTTTACAGGTTTACTGCAGCAGGGGTATCTATTATTCGTAGCTTATCTGATCCAATACATTAAAAAGGCAATTTATTTTTGGCCTCCACAGGGGAGTTTTTGAAAATTAGACCTGTTAACTCAAGATCCATTTAGAGGCATATAAAAAAGATTTTTTTAGTTTTAGTTTAGTTTTTTAACAAGTTGTATTGTAAAAACATGACTTTTAAGGTCAAGAAGGGGGGTTCAAACCCCTAACCCCTCCTGAATACGCCACTGGTTGTATGACCAGGGAACGAGTTATTGTTTATGATTATATCATTTTATTGCGTTAAACGAGGTTTTAAATGACTTAACAAGAAACAAATTTTAATCAAAACACGACCTCCGCAGTGCACGGAAGGGAGTACATTTATCTATGGCAATAGGTTCTATGGATGGTAAAATAAGAAACATCATTTTATATTCCACAATATTTACTTTTAATCTACATCACAAAGAAAACCTATAATAGGACAATATAACATCAGCGTATTTTAAATTATATACAGCCAAAAAATGAAAAATGGTAACATTTTACACTTTGGGGGAGTTATATTACAATCAAAAATATCTTTTCAATATATTTAAACTTATTGTTTTCATCACTCATTTTCTTAACCCTATGCAATACTTCAGATACTTTATACAAAACAATTACTTTTTAATCAAAAACACACTGACTCAACAATATCACAGTCCAATGCTTACAGAAAATATTAAATAACCGTTGACTGAATCCTCATAAATCTTAGATGGAAAACACACACAAAAGAGAATAAAAGTATTAAGCCAACTTAAAAAGGTTCCACCCGCCAGCTGGTTAGTGGTTACCACGTTAACATGGTCCTACAAAAGAAAACCTCTTGGCACTATTAAAGTCTTTATCGAGTCAAAATAAACAGTAAAATATTCACAATGATCCAAACTATGCCCTGGATTAACTGGAACTTCATAATTGTTTCTTTAAGCATTTACAAAATATATTTTTTTTTTTTAGAAAATAAGTCTTTTAAATGTGATTCTAGCTTCTAAATAACAGTTAAACATTAATTTATCCCCATCCAATGCAAGCTCTGATATGTTAAGAGCACATAAAGCACACAGTCGTTAAAAACAGTGTTGAGAGCTTGTACGTAGAGGAATATTTAGAAACATTAGCATGTTTAGCCATCTTGGATTGACTGGGTAGAACCCTCATTAACCAAAATATGTTGAGTGAGATCAACTCCAATAGCAGAAGAAAGAACTTGATACAATGATGGCAAAGTGAAACATAGAATATTTAGAGAAAAACTAGAACAAAAACAAATACAAATTGAAATGCAAGCGAAAACAATGTAGTCACAACCTCTAAAGTTTTGTGACATATTTTTCTAAAGTAGGGCCAGAGAATGTCTAACTGGAAAACAGTGCTACATTTCATGGACTGTTATGTAAGTGGAACAGTCACTTTAAATCACAATGGATAACTAACTATCATATATACCTGTGGTGGTACAAACAAGTAGCTTACAATGAAAACCAGAGTAATATCATATCAGTTTAGGCATGTAACTATTGTGCAAATTCATTCAATGAAAACTCTAACTGCGTTTAGAATGTCTATTAAAACTAGTTTTAACAATTTGAAAAACAATATAAGAAAATTGTTTCTAATTGAAACAGATTAGGGTGCGTAAAATCATTTTTAGTTCTTTGGTATGGCTATGATAAAAAAATATAAATCGATCATTACATAACTAGATCTAAAACTATACAATAATTTTGAATTTGATGTGCATCATGCAGTAGTTTTAATGTAATCATACAAATTGAAAGATGAAACCAACGTTGTGTGGTTTTAAGTTTTTAAGGATGATTGATGATTTGAGTTTCTCCTAAACATCGCCCCATCAGAATATTTGAATGAAAATTTGTAATTTAAAGGTTTCCAAATAAGATTATGATAATGTTGAACAATAATTTTAGAAACTAACCTATGAGAGCAAAAAAGGCCTCTGCTAGGCTTAGATTGGCATACTTAACTACTTGATTGTAGTGTCCAATAAAAATCAATCACCATTTAACATCTTTCATACACATTTCTCATTGTGTATCCCTTAGTGTGAGTGTGTAGGTGTAAATATATTGTTGAAAGTGTAAGGATGCAAAGACGAAATGTAACAGCAAATTAAATTACAATAACTTGAATTAAAAAAAAACATTTGCATAAAAATGAGTACAGTACTTAATAATAAAATAACATTGAAATGTCATGGCTATTTGTTAAACAACTTTAAATCAGATCATGAATGTATTTAGATCCTAAATGTTTTTTTTTTATTTCCATCTTTAAAAAAATCTAAAACTTACTACAAACATGTTTTATTCCATCTTTCATATTAATAAATATAAATATATATGTATATGAAAGTAAGACATACAATTAAAACAAGACATTTAAATAAAACTTATTGGTAAATCAAATGTTTTATTTCTTACCATTCACTAGAATTATTTATCTGGCAATTTATTTGTTTATGTTTCAATTAAACACACTAGAATCTGTATATTTAATAAAATGTTTAAAATATCCTCTGGTACATTTTTCTTCTAACTAATGGGTAAAACAAAAAGTTTTGTGGCATGACAAAAATTCACTTATAAATATTATAAAACTTTATATTTACTATTGTGCCATTTTATTAAACTGCTTAAGTGAAAAGGCTAACCTCAGTAAGCAGAAAGGGCAATTTTGAAATAGATTAATAATTAAACAAGGGTGATTTTATAACTTTTGAAATAAAAATAACTGGTAAATCGTCAAAAGATGGTACTTAGGCATTAAGATAAATTTTAAAATCAATGAATAAAAAATATTAACCAAGCAAAACAAATATCTTACACCCTTGCAGTATTTAGACAATTTTCATTTGACTTTCATTGAGACATGTGAAGATTTAATTCAACTATATTGTAAACAAAACCATTTCACTTTACAACCTCATAAGAGTTAAACAATAATGTGATTAAAATGAAGTATATTATAAAAATAAATATACTTGAACAAAACCCCATAAAATAAAATAAAAACAATTTATCTACAAAAATAAAAAAAATATATTATAACAAATATGCTACAAAATTTAACTACTTATATTCTACCTAAAATCTCTTTGGGAAAATTGTAAAGAGTATACAAGTGGAAAACAGCAGTAGTAGGAAAACATTGAGTATTTTGATATGGAAGTGGAAAGAAATTTTATAAAAATAAGCATTTATTTTTAGATTGGTGGTATTTGAGACTAGAAAGTATTACATTTTATAATCTCAAGTCTGATCAAAATATATTTTACACGTTCTTCTCAAGCTAACTCGATGAACCCCCGATAATAGTAAGCATGTTAAACAAATCTTAGTGAATTTTCTTCAGTCATTGTGAAGATTAAAATTTTCTAAAAATCAAAAACATTAACCAGAAACAAAACAAAAAAATAAAAAAATTTATAACAACCTTATTATCTCAGTTTGATCTATAATGATATCAGTAATGATGTTTACAGTGAGTGCCATGATCTTCATCTCATAATAATGGAGAGAATTGATTGGTTTTAAATTTGAGGTTACATTGAAAGACTAGTAGTCAGTAGATAAGCACAAATCTAATGCATGTATTTTATTATTTCTGCCCAATTACTGATCTTCTACATTCTGAGGAAAAAAATATACCCTAACTAATATCCACAATAGGAGATCTATAGTAAAAAAAATTGAATCCAAATTGATGAATGAAGACATGACGAAGATCAAAAGTAAGTATATTGGGATCTGTACTATGATACAGCTTACATAAATACAGTCTTGAAGAAAAACAATTACAGCAACCAGAATATTACTTTTCAGGTATTAGCTCCTTTTTTGTTGGCATTATTGTTGGCTGCAGTGTATCAATAGTAGATGTAGCCTATCCTGTCCAAATCCAAAGGAAAGGTAAAAAATTTTAGATTCAATTGGCTGGATCTAAGAATCAAATTCCATATCTAGTTACCCCTTGAGAGAGAGAATCTAAATAGAGTTTTCAAGTTCCAGCAATTGCTAAGGAAATGTTTGTTGTATTCCCATATTCAGGAACAAATGATTAGTTATGTTCCTGATAAGGAAACTTATATTTCTGTTTGTAGAGCAGGGTTTGTAATAGATTTATTTTAGGTTTAAACCTCAGAATAAATTTTAATTTGGAGATAATCACCACATTGCTGCAATTCTCGTCGAACAGCGTTGAAAAATGTGTTATAAGGTTCACTATCTTAACTATTGATTTTTATAATGTAATGAATTGTACTTGGGTTTGGCATCTAGGACTCGACTATTAGGATAGCTATTTGAGGTTTGAAATACCTATATTTTTTCTGATCCTTTGTAGACACCAATACAGAACTTTTTAAACTTTAAGTTAAATCAGATCAAATAAATTGATTTTATGAAGGTGGTTCACAAACTATGTGTTGATAAGCCCAATGTTTCAGCCACAACTATGAACCTCAACTATAAGATCACATCAGAGAGAAGTAGTACTAGTGTCTGTGTATGAGATGACAAACAGAGAGGGGGAGGGCTGCAGACTCAGGGTGGCCAACTGAAGACTGTCTTGCAAGGTTAGTTGTCAGCTGCGAAGGTGTACCAACAGTAGTGGTGAGGTTAGACCAAATATCAGATCACATCAGAGAGAAGTAGTACTAGTGTCTGTGTATGAGATGACAAACAGAGAGGGGGAGGGCTGCAGACTCAGGGTGGCCAACTGCAGACCGTCTTGTGAGGGTTAGTTGTCAGCTGCGAAGGTGTACCAACAGTAGTGGTAAGGTTAGACCAAATATCAGATCACATCAGAGAGAAGTAGTACTAGTGTCTGTGTATGAGATGACAAACAGAGAGGGGGAGGGCTGCAGACTCAGGGTGGCCAACTGCAGACCGTCTTGTGAGGGTTAGTTGTCAGCTGCGAAGGTGTACCAACAGTAGTGGTAAGGTTAGACCAAATATCAGATCACATCAGAGAGAAGTAGTACTAGTGTCTGTGTATGAGATGACAAACAGAGAGGGGGAGGGCTGCAGACTCAGGGTGGCCAACTGCAGACCGTCTTGTGAGGGTTAGTTGTCAGCTGCGAAGGTGTACCAACAGTAGTGGTGAGGTTAGACCAAATATCAGATCACATCAGAGAGAAGTAGTACTAGTGTCTGTGTATGAGATGACAAACAGAGAGGGGGAGGGCTGCAGACTCAGGGTGGCCAACTGCAGACCGTCTTGTGAGGGTTAGTTGTCAGCTGCGAAGGTGTACCAACAGTCTGGCTTGTCGTGGTAGGGTTCGACTCCATGCAGGTGTGAGATGACTCTACCCCACACTAGGTGGTTGCAGTATTCCACAGCTTGAGGTCTGTCAGTTGCCACAGAGTGTTGGAGCAGCCAGTCTGCCAAGGACTCTCCACTGAACACTTGCTTGTACCTCCACAGCCTCCACCTGTATAATCAACAATGTTAAACTTCATTGTAGAACTTTTCAATACAATCCTTCACATACATATTGTGATTGTAATCTTTTAGAAGTTGACTTAAACCACACCTTTCAGCAAACTCAGAGCCTCCTTTTCACTAATATCAAACACAAATACCTGAGGCCTAGAGTGGTAGAATGCTGGGAGACATACAGTAACAAAAAGGAAATGCAAGGAAATGTATAATTGAAACAAAAACTGACAGGGCAATAACATAAGGAGAGGCCATTTAGGGAGTTATGGGAGTAATACAACTTAAGTTGGTTCTAATAAGATGGTTTAAAATTTTTAAAAGTATTGCAAAAGATAGTTTTAGTCATAGCAATACAAAATTAATTTGTGATTGGTAAATAACCAGTACGTTTTTGCAATACTTGCAGGATAGCAAAGGATATAGGGAACAAGTACTTTTGATTTGACTCTCCCTCAGGTTCTTCGTTTAACTTGATCTGGTATCCGAAAGAGTTGCTTTAGGACTTGGTAATGAAAAGCTATGTAATTTAATTAAAAAAATTAAACATCGATGTAAAAAGACTCATGGATTTAAAAAGTTAGTTAAAATGAACACACCTGGTTTCAGTGCAGACTTGTTGGCGACACTGGTCTAGATGATGGGAAATGAACTGCTCACAGACGTGACGAGTTTCAAAGGTTAGATCTTCCCAAGGGGGAAGTTGTAGCGCCTCCCCTCCGTACCATAGCCGAGACACACTGTCACACAGAACACATCAGTGTGTCAAACAATATTCTGACATTCCTTTAAAAACCACTAAAACTACCTTTGCGGTAATGAGTTCAACCTTTGGAGACGATAGATAAATTCATATTAAAAAAATTTCACTTCATGCCCTAGTGATGTAAAATGTTTTTTCATCATATTCTGTTTGTATTATGTTATTATGCTGTAAATCATGTAATTTAAATCACAAGTTAAGCTCTCAAAGTCACTTTATAATCCATAGATATGATAAGTGTTTAAATGTCCAAGGAAACTATGTTGAAAAGTAGAGGAAAGACGTAGTTTTTATAATAAATATGTTGGTCCTACTTCTTTGATTTATTCTGAAAACCGGAGGTTACTTTCCGAACAGCCCTCGCAATTATAGCTTGCTAAAGATATTGATGATTGTAAAAATGTTTTATTTTTATCATCACACCGTCCCACCATTAGGCCCATACCTTGTTGGTAACAGAGTACCAATAACGACATTTTAAGGTGTTCTTAGTATGGCACCATGTTTCCAGTATGTTCTTGTGTTCTTGTGTTTCACCATGTTCTTAGTATGTTTCCTACGAACCAGCAATACCTAGAACCACCTTCAGATACTGACATATCACAAACATAAAGTCGTAAACATTACAAATGCAGCTTCTGACAGAAGATATGAAATTTTTACTCAGGTTTTCTAGTGGTGGAATAGACACTTTAAATTTCTTTGAATACCATAGAAAGTAAAGAAACACCCAGCTAGAAATGTTTCTTTAAAGACGCTTTAGTAAAATTTTATTGAATAGTTAAAAATTAAATCAGCATAAACAAAAATGAAACATCCATTAGGCCAATTTTCAGCACAGATCTCAAATTAAAAGTAGCCGCATTAATTCGCTAGACCAATCCATCCGTGAGAAATAAACAATAAACATGTGTGTGATATTACAAAACTGTTGTGGTAGTATGATCTCATATTCTTCCTTGTGATCTCATCTTGTCAACCTGTACAAAGCAAAACACAGTCACCAAGCATTCACATACACCTGCCAACACCAACACACATCTTGCCTACTAAATAGTTCCAATCTCGCAATCATTTAGAATAGAATGTGTAAAGAAAATTTAAAAACTTGTGGCAGTCGATTCTTTGCGTACAAATTGTAGGCATCAGGGATGCTGTAGAACCACGAGAGGGCTCAAATTAAAACTAAATAAGGTGAAGGTTATTACCTCGTCTGCTGTTCCAAAATTATAGTTTGTGCCTCAGTTACAAGTAAGTTTTCAGAAAAATTTTATTATTTCTATCGCCGACAGAGAGAGGAGGGGTTTTCAATCCTTCCTAGTGGGGTCACCATTGGTGGACTTGGCGGAAGGATATTTTTGTGAAGTTTTGATTATTCTGTCGGTTGCGGGGGTTTACCTAACACATGTCACATTGACATTGACATGATTTATTCTTTTCACCATTGCGGCTTTCCCCTTTATTTTAATTATCTAATATTGTCGGATTATTCTGTGGCCCCTTTATACCGAACTTATAACGTTTTCACCTAATTCTGTTAAATTTCTTTCTAATAAACCTGTTTGAAAGTCAGTTTAACAGTATACCCTTCCTTTCCGGACTACCGCGTTTGCGTAGGAACAACATTTAGTCCTTAGCTCATTTGGACCTTAGGGACGTTAGGCATGCATTATTCGTACGTCAAGGTCAAGGCACCAACATAAGGAGATAGTGTCAAGTATTTTGTCTTGAGGACCTTCTATCTACTATCGCAAACCCACAGCGCTTCCTTGCCGCTCACAACAGACTTGGCTCACTTCCCGCCAAAGGGACCTTTACAATGGTTTGTGTCACCAATCTCATAGTGGGTGACTAATTTAGCTCTCAAAAATAACATAATTCTCACTAGCTACGGCAATAAAAATTCTTCTTCCCGGGCAATAACAATGCCACCAGTACCAAAAGCAAAACCCGTACTTTAATACACACTTACTTAACACCAAATCTCCCTTTTAATTAAATCCCAAAACAATCATCTTGTTAATAGCTAACCCAACAAGACTATCACGAGATAGTTTGCCATCACTCGTGCCAGCTGTTAACAAACACTTTTGCTATATACACCCCAACAAGCAACATCAACAATGCTCCAAGTCAATGCTCTCCACCAGCACCAAGACCCGTCAACATCAACATCAACATACAGTACATGCAAGACGAGTCGTCAGTCCACATGGTCCAGTAGACTATCATCAGAGGAGTCTTGTCTGGTCCTTCCTCTTTGTCTCCTCCTAGGAAATTCACAACACAAACTCATCCTAGCAGCAAATATGTGAGTATACGACTACAATGAAATTGCAATAAGTGTATTTTCAACTAAGAATTAACGAAAAAGATGTGAGGTGAGCGATAGCTTAGGCCAGGAACACACTTGTCAGCAAAATCCGGTGACATCCGGAAATTTGAAAAACACAAGAAGGCTTGGGGAATGATACACTGCTTCGGTTCAGCGAAACAGCCGGTCCGGCGTAAAAATGCTCTGGCGAAACCGGCGGATATTCTCTACTTTGCCGGACCGGCTGTAACTGATTCTTTTTTGTATGTATTTATGCTATTGACACTATTATTTTGTTTTCGTCGGGGAACAGTACAAACTTTAGACAGATATAATGACCGTGAGAGTTAAGAAGTCCCTTGAGCCAGAGCCACATGCAGCAGTGTTTGGAGGTTGTCACACACTATTGCAGGTACTAAGGATGAAGGTGCCTCGCCTATCACGTAAACATCATTACTCATATCTTTGTTTTGTTGAGTAGGTGGTCGCTTTTTATCAGTGCAGTCTCGTTTCTTTGCACAGTGACTTGCCACTATAGAAAAACTATAGCTGTGTTTCCTATAAGAAAAAGTGGTTCAACTATACATAGAGGAGAGAAGAATTTAATTGGGCGGGTGATTTAGATCTGTGACAATGAGTGTAAAGACAAAAATGTATTAGTGCCGATAGAATAGCTACACAAATGCAAGCTATTGCAATGATTCAGGAAAAAATGTTAAAGAATTAAAGCATTTGCCCTCAAACTGTTAATGGCTGGAGCTCAGGGGACTTCTTAACTCTCGCGGACAGTATATCCATCGTTGAAAGGTATAACACCTAAAACAAACAAAATTTGTTTTGTTCTAGGTTCCTAAGACCGTAAGATGAGGTCAGATTCCATATACAGAAACGTTAAACTCGTGTTTAACTAATTACTGATGGATCCTTCACACAACGCACCAGCAGCAACAAGCACGCTAACCATACAGCTAAGCAGCTAGTGATATGTTTGATTCTTAAACTGTTTAGTTATAATTGTATACAAGATAAGACAGACTATTAGTAAAAAGCTAGTGCCATAGAAAATCTCCACAATGATCAATGTAATGAAAACCGTTGACCTCCCATGCTTCTTAATATTCTATCATTCAAAACTGAAAGGCATGAGGTGGGAACAAGTAAGTAGGAATATAGCACATTTTAAAACTCTTGAATCAGTTAAAATTGCTGGTAAGGATGGAAAAGAATCCAAAAAGAGAAACAACAAAGTCTCCCACTTCAACCTGGAGTAGAGGAGGAACCGTGGTCTTCGACCAACCACTTAAGCCGGGTTTACACGATGCCAGTTGGCGAGACAATTGTCTTTGCCAATTGGCATCACGTGGTTTTGGAATTGTCGTAGGCCAGGCAAGTTGAACGAGAACCTGTTCACACGTGGCCAACACTTGCCCAGGCATTTTACAGTGAACCAGGGTACTACTGCTAAAAGACAAGACAGTGCTATTGGCCTCTACACCGTTTATACGGCGCCAATTGTCACAACTGGGTTTTCGAGGGGTGGGGGCCTCACTGGGCCCAGCTCATTGTCCTCAGTCTACTCCCGGAGACAACTGAATTTCGGGACAGTTGGCGAGCCAATTGGCCTGAAGTGTTTACACGAAGCCAGTAATTCCAAGCCAGTTAGTTGTCTCCTGACAAGTGTCTCGCCAACTGGCATCGTGTAAACCCGGCTTTATGGTAGTATCACTTAGCGTACTTCCTCTACTTTTGAGATGTATAATGATTAAACAGGAAATATCCTTTCACATTTTATTTTATAAACTTAGTTACTCAAGTCTCTACCAACCACAAAGCAACAGTGATACTCGTTTACCTAAATGAAGTGGCACTTTGTAAGTTACAATCTCCAACAAGCTCCAGTCACGACTATTTTAGATCTGACATGTTTACTCAAAATTATTCAAGAGAATACAACATCAATCATTGAAAATACATGAAAACACACTTGCCACATAGAAAAAGTTTGTTATAAATCTAACACTGTAATCAAGAACTATTGTTATTTGCCATGCTGCATTTAACATGAGTGACTGATCTATTACCCGGAGATGATTGGCTCAAAGATTGCCGAGCTGTCAAGTCCGTAGACTGCGAGAACCAACAGACTCTGGCCTCGGTTGAGGCTGGTGTCCAAGAACAACATTTCTACGTAGACACCAGTGATACCTTCCATGACTACGCGCCACACACACACTGACAGGCTCTGTACAGACAATACAAGGTCATTAGGTAGGTAACTAAGTTACAAGAGGTAAACAATTGTTGAGGACATGGAAATAAAAGTGTTTTTTTTTTTTTTTTTAGTGTTGATTTTAAATAACTAAATAAATACTACAATTTATTTGGTATTATAACCAAAGAGTAGGGCACACAATGCAAAATGAACCCTGAAATAAAAGACCATTAATCAAAATCGACACGATCAAGCGTTACAAGTACCATTAAACATTTTAAACATCACCTCGGCCTGACGAGGTAAGACCAATCAGCCTTCAGCAAGGTGTTGACATTTCTTTGATCCTGTGACTCAGTGAATCCGGTTCAACTGTCAGGCCGGTATAAAAGACAATGTTTGCATGTTAGATCCTTCTTTTGGTCAAAATGTGTTGTACAGTGAAGATGGTTAGTAATGTTAAAGTTTTAAAAATACTTTAGTGTGATTTGGTCCAGGAAAACTGGTATTTTAACTTATTTTATTTAAATATTAGTTCATCTAGTAGGTCTGTCAAAAAGAATAATGTTTAAACTTTGATTTTATTTGAAACTATTAAAATTTGTTTGTTTTTAGGGCACATGATTATTAGTAACAAAATGAAATTAAATTAAAGTATGATGATGAAAAATTAGAAGTGATTTATTTCCAATCATAAAACCTATTTTTCTAAATAAATGTATTGTAGCTATAATTAAGAAGAGTGTTGAGAAGAGATTAAATTACTTAAAATGAGGTTACTAACCTGTCGTCAATCAGTCCTATATATTGTCGTTGATGACTAGTTTCGGTGCTAAAACCCCATTTTCAAATCTTCTCTTTCAAGAAGATATGTTTGACATATGACGACTGAAAGAGAAGATTTGAAAATGGGGTTTTAGCCCCGAAACTAGTCATCAACGACAATATATAGGACTGATTGACGACAGGTTAGTAACCTCATTTTAAGTCATTAAATCAATCCTGGAGGCAAATTATGTATAGATTAAATTAAACTAAAGTTTCATTACACGGAGAGGAATGGATGTCTAGGAAATTCCCTTCCACATCGCGACCTATAATGGTATTGACGGTTCCAAGGGAGTTGGTGGGACAGGAGTTGGAATACACGATGTGCAGAACGGGGTGGACGACTTCTGTCTTCCCATAGCAGTGCATACAACATTATTCCAGGATGAGATAGCCGTGATCATGGAGAACCTGAGGCAGGGTTTCAGGGACATTTCCATTTTCACAGACAGCAAGGCTGTGCTCAAGGCACGTGCTTCCACAAGTTCTAGTCCAAGAGGGACACAACAATACAACAGTATCTTCTCTGGGTATGTGCAACATGGTGACGCTCTGTTGGGTCCCTGGACACCCAGACTGGCAAGTTGGCCAAAGTGACCTCAGCCTCAGACAATGTTGCATTTAGTTGGAAAATTGTAACGCCTTTAAATGTTGTCAATGCAGTAAAAAAAATGTAAAACTCAAAAAGGGATGATGTTTTTGGAATGTCAAATAATTTACTAAAAAATATTATATATAGTTTAGATGTACCTCTTGCTGATTGTGTAAACTCATTGTTAGAAGCTGGAGTATTCTCAGGCTTGTTGAAGGTCTCACGGGTTTGTCCAGTCTATAAGAAGGGTCCAAGAGATAAGCCCCAAAGTTATCGTCCTGTCTTAGTAATTCCGGTAATTGGTAAATTAATTGAAATCTTGGTCTTTGAACAGGTTAATGAGTATTTTGAGGAGAACAACTTGTTTAATGTATCCCAATTTGGATTTAGAAAGGGAATGTCCACTATTAATTATGAGATACGGATTGGTGCTTTGGGGTAGTAGTGGTAGAATAAAAGAAATTTTGATTCTCCAAAAAAGGGCTTTAAGAGCTATGACAGGGACACACCCTGATCATTGCAAACCTCTTTTTATAGATCTGCAAATTCAAACTGCAGTAAATTTGTTCATTTATGATCTGATTGTTTATATATTAAAAAACCCTGAATATCTTCAATTTAATAATCACAGTTATAACACTTGTTTTAAAAATACTTCGCTGTTAGAATCCCATCGTCTTAGTAAAACTAGTAATTGCCAAGTCTTATCTAGGTCAACCCAATTCAATCAAAATACGTCCAATGTTACAACACACTTAAGTTTCACAGCAATATGAAAGGCAATTGACTACCTTAGGTAAACAGAATCAAAGGTGACTCACAATAAAAACAGAGCAGGCGAGGAACACCAGCAACACAATGAGTCTCAGTAGACTGTCCTCCTGTGTGGCCAGTTGTCTCTCCTCACTGGACTGTCTCTCGGGACCGACACTGCCTCGCACAGAGTTGATGCTGACCCTGTCCTCCATCCTGCACACATTGCTGACCAATCAATCATACAGCTAGTTTCCCTTGTAGTAAGGTTGCATTACAGTAGAACCTCCATAGTTCGACACTAAGGGGGTGTCAAACTTTAGGGAGTGTATTGGATATTTACACTCATGGAGTATTTAAGAACAAAAAAACTCTACATTATTTGTCTTTTTACTGTATAAAAATCAACTAGATTGTAATATTCAACTGCTTTACACTAAGGATGCTAGAAAAAAAATGTAAACTAATGGGATATTAGTTTAAAGTATTGAGTTTTCAAGCACAAAAACGATGAGAAGACGCTAAGTGGCAAACTCGAAATCGGCCGCTGCTAACATGTTACATCATCACGGCCCGTGTCAAACTATAGGGAGTGTCAAACTAAGTGTCGAATTGTCGAGGTTTTACTGTACCAAACTTAGCCATAGAAGGTATTTATTAAATTAAAACATTAAAAGTTTTAAATGAAAATCCAAAGACTTTTCAAACTAATTTTTGTAAGGCACATTCTTAGTAGAGATATTTTAAATGGTAGAAAAAGGAGGATAGCAGCTAGCTTACCTTGAAAGTGTGGGTAGGCCATAGAACAAGTAGAAAAATATTTTGCACACAATATTTCGTCCCCTAAGGGACTTTGTCAAGTGTAGAGAGAGTTTATTAATTACAAGATGGCTGCTGTCATGGCTGATGGCTGTTGTCAACTATGCAGGTGTAGTGGCCTTTGATTCTGTACTCTGAATTATTACACACCTGCACTACAGAAAACCTAATATATCAACTGGAATGTCAACAATGCCAGGCCCAATATATAGGCATGATAAAAAACACCCTAAGAGAAAGAATGAATGGCCACCGCCAAGATGTCAAAACGGGTAAAGAAAACCCTGTGGCCATCCATGCCAACAATCACAAAATGGACTTTGATAGTTGCTTCACAACTAAAGTAATAAAATCCCTTCCAAAGGATGAATGCAACCCTTCCATGTTAAGAAGGTGGGAACTGGCATTCCAGTATATAACCAACTCCAGAACTCCCCCCAACCTTAACCTAAGATAAACCTGTCCAAGCAGCTAGCTAAATACATAATAGGCCTAGTTTGTATATAAAATATTATATGTGTGTGTATATATAAAGTTGTGTACATAGTTGTAAATAGACTAATGAGATGTGGCAACCCTGCATAGTTGACAACAGCCATCAGCCATGACAGCAGCCATCTTGTAATTAATAAACTCTTTCTACACTTGACAAAGTCCCTTAGGGGACGAAATATTGTGTGCAAAATATTTTTCTACTTGTTCTATGGCCTACCCACACTTTCAAGGTAAGCTAGCTGCTATCCTCCTTTTTCTACCATTTAAAATCCTGGCCTAGAGCCTTTCCTTAAACAAAACTAATCTTAGTAGAGATAGTTCAAAATAAACAAAATGACCAATTGGAGGAGGACCTCACAATAAGTCCCCCTTTTTATCATATTCAAAATCCCTTCCCACCTGAAGACAGGCGAGCTGAGATCCTAAAAAAAGTGTTATAACTTATGTTTGAATAATCAGTGATTAAAATTTTTTGTAATAATCCTTTGGGATCAGGATCAACATGGTACACATGGCTACATGGTAACAAACTCACTTGTTGGTAGCTACACCTCCATTAGTGGCAGGGCTGTGCTGTTGTTGCTCATGATGTTGTGCTATGGTGTCGTTGGCCTCCCTCACCAACAACAAGTACTGCTTCTGGCGTCTCAGGTAGAACTGATGCAGCACTAGGCAGCCCACAGTCACTGCAGACATCACATACTATAACTGTAACTACTGTTATTGGCTACTTTCAAAATCTTACTGTTACGCTCACTCTCTGAACTAATGTGCGAGTGCCACCAAGTAGCAAAACTTTTATTTCATTTTATCAATGAAGGATTGTTTTATGTAACTAGTATGCAAAGTGGCACTTTGCTTTGCAAGAGAAACATTTACTTGAGCAAAGAGCACTTGACTCAATTGCAGTAAAATAATTAAATAACAAATTTAAATATCTTTTACTTGTAGTTACTACAAAACATAAATATACAGTTTTTCATAGTAGTTTAACTTTCTTCTTTTCACTCAAGGAAGAAAATGGTTCTTACTTTAATGTGTGTTCTGTAAGATAATATTTAGATCATTGAGCTTGTTAGCAATGCAGCCTTAAATATTTAAATACACTAGCAGAGTACCCGTCCTTTGTACGGGGTTGGAATATAAGTATAAAATGCTTATTGCAGTTATACTCATGCTTTGCGTTTGCAATAAGGGAGGACTGTAATAAACCTTTAGAGAATAAAACTTAGGTTTTATTAAGTAAAACTGAATACAAGAATTAAACAGAATAAATAAACAAATCTGACTAAAACATTAAGAATGTCAGCTGACATTTTGTACAGTACTTGGAATATCACCACATTCTTCCGCTCTAGTAAATTTTATACACATCGAATTTCTTAGGTAACACCTTTGGTCTGGTTGACCGACGTGGTGGATGAGGTTGATTGCAAGGAGCGCTGCTGGTTTGATGTTCATCATTTTCAGGAACACCATCTGACGTTGCTGGTGGTAAACATAAATCTGTATAGTTTTGAAGGAGCGGTTGTGACGAAGTAGTGTTCTGTTCCAGAAGGAGCGATTTTGACGAGGTAGTGTTCTGTTCCAACTGTTCATCACCGTCTTCGTTTTCATAAGTAAGATTTGTTGGATTTTGCATTACATTTAGAATGGCATTGATTTACAAACATATAGAATGGTTAAATTAAAGTTAAAACAATTTTATTTAGAAATAGTTTAGTCAGTATAAATTTTGTTGTATTATATATTGTTTAGAGATACATTTATTCTTGTTAAAGATGTTAATTGTTGTTTCACATAGGTATATGAAATGTTATTTAGTTGGTAATTTTAGAGTTATTTCATCTGGGTCTAAAGAGTTTTGTTTACAAAAAAAAAAAAAATGTTATCAATTTGTAAATTGTTTAATAGTTATTTTGTCTTCGACTAAATAGTTTATTTATACTGCATAAATACACACAAAAAAAAAAATGTTATTCAGCTTTTTAAATTATTGTGTTTGTCAAGGATTTCAATTTCTTAAATCATATTAGGTTTTTGTTTTATTGTAAAGAGTTTTGGGACTTCAAGATGTTTGTGATAACAGGCTAGAGAGATAAGGAGGACACACACACTGACTGATGGAAGTGATAAGAGTTTGGACTTGATTTCCTTTAGTTTAATGAGCTGCAGACAAGCCATGTCAGGCTTTTGCAGCATGGTGAAAAATGATATGTAAAAATGTGTGTTTCAATTTGTTTCAAATAAATAAATATTTCCTCTTGGTGCTAAATATCTTAAGGACACAATTGATTCTCTTCCTTCTTTATTGCGGACTAAAGAATATTTTGGGTTTGTCTCAATTACTTCAACCTCTTCGACCAGTGGGTCAAACTTACTGCCTCTTATGTGCTTCTTCATAAGAACTTTTCCAGGAATAGTCAGCCAAGTAGGGATAGTTTCTCCGTTGCTAGATCTTCTTTGATGTTTAAACATTCTTTCGTGCGGTGTACAATTCGTAGCTGTGCATAAGAGGGATCTGATGCAATGAAGGGCTTCATCTAAAACACTTTCCCACTGAGTTATTTTCATCCCTCTCGATTTCAATGCTAGCTGAACAGTATTCCATATTACTCCGTTGAATCGTTCAACTTGCCCATTTCCACGTGGGTTATATGGACTTGCACGACTTGTAGCTATTCCCAAATTATGTAAAAATGATTTTAGTTCTACCGACATAAAACCGCTACCCTGGTCTGTGTGTATATATGATGGTGTACCAAAAATACTGAAGACTTTGAGAAGTTGTTTGATAATAGTTCTTGAGCTCATATCAGGACAGGGGAGTGCAAAAGGATAACGTGAATATTCGTCAACTATAGTTAGAATATAGGTGTTATTTGTTACTGAAGGGATTGGCCCTTTAAAATCCATATTAAGCCTCTCAAATGGGGCCATAGCTTTGATGAGATGTCCACTAGAAGTTTTCAGGAATTTTGGTTTGATCTCTGCACATAGTGGACAGCCTGCAGTCATTTTTCGCACATCTTCGACTGAGTAAGGAAGATTGTGGGTTCGGACTCAGTGCACCATTCGAGTAACGCCTGGATGACATAGTGACTTATGTAAGTCAATTAAACTTTGATTTGGCATCGAACTGCAGAGTCGAGTGAAGGCATCAGCGACTGTATTTTGAATACCAGGCCTGTAGACAGTGTCAAAACTAAAACAAGACAGTTCTAGCCTCCATCGTTGAAGTTTCTCATTCTTTATTTTGCTACTGTGTTTTTGATCAAAAATAAATGACACCGACCTTTGATCTGTCACAATCTTGAAATGCCGTCCAACTAAGAAATGTCTCAATTTCCTGACTGCCTCGACAATAGCTGCTGCTTCCTTTTCTATTATAGAGTGTCTCTTTTCACTGTCTGATAACGATCGTGAAAAAAAAGCAACTGGACGACCCATTTGACTAAGAGTCGCTGCAAGTGCATTCTGTGATGCATCAGTTTCTACTACGAATGGGATAGATTCATCAATAGTATTAATAGCAGACTGAGCTATCTCTTGTTTCAGTTTTTCATAGTCAGAAACAACTTCTGGAGGAATTGGGAATGTTTTGCATTTAACTAATCTGTGTACTTTTTCAGAAAATTGAGGGATCCATCTTGAATAGTGAGCTAGCATTCCAACTGCACGCCTTAATAAATCAAAATTACTAGGAACAGGTAAGTTCAGAAGGGGTTCAAGTCTTTCAGGATCCGGTTTAATAGTGTTATTTTCAATTAGGTATCCCAGAAGTCTGATTGATCTTTGGGAGTGTGAACATTTGTCTTGATTCAGAGTCAGCCCGTACTTGTTGGCTGCTGCCAAGAAATTTGCAAGATTTCTATCATGATCTTCTTGATCTTTACCACAAACCGTCAAATCATCTAGATAAGCAAAAACCCCTTCTAACTTTTCTTTACTGATTATACCATTAATTACACGCTGGAAACAAGCAACTCCATTGGTAACTCCAAAAGGTATTCTGTTGAAATGATATAGTTTTCCACCTGCTTCGAAGCCAGTGTATTTTTTCTCATTTTCACAAATAGGGATTTGATGGTAAGCGCTTCGGAGGTCAACTGTACTAAATACCTCATACTTAGAAATTTTTGAAACAAGATCTTCAATATTTGGTAAAGGATAAGCATCAAGGTTAGTGAAACGGTTAATAGTTTGAGCGTAATCAATGACTAACCGTCTTTTGTGATTCTCATTTTTGGTAACCAGGACTTGAGCCCTCCAAGGAGAATTGCTCTCTTCAATTATTCCTTCAGACAACCATTTACCTATTTCATTTTCTATAAATCTTGTTTCATCAAGGGAGAACCTTCGAGATTTTATTTTTATTGGGTGACAATCTGGTGAAAGATTAGCAAATAGTTCAGGAGGTTCAACAATAGCTGTAGGCAAACTGCAAGGGCCCAAAGTTAGTGCTGGCTTAGAACCGCCAAATGATATACATAGATTTGTATACTTAGAGAGAATATCATGCCCAATTATCATGTCTGCACAGAGATTAGGCAAAACTGAAACCTTAGTTTTTATATGTTGATGCCCTAAAAGCTCAATATCAACGAAGCAGTGCCCACAGATATGGGATTGTAAGTCTACAGATGCCATAGAAATCTGGCCTCCTCCAGGAACAACTAAAAACTTTGTTTTGTCAACGAATGTTTTATTTATGAATGTTTCAGAGCTACCAGTATCTATTAGAGCATCAGCGACAACATTGTTCATCTTAACTGTAACTACAGACTTTGATAAACATCGAGGAGCGGCAGCCAGCAGTCCAGACTCATGACTTTTCTCCATGGCTGAAAGATTAGAAGATTTACCTGATTTTTTACGACGACAAACAATTGAGAAATGACCTTTTATCCCACAGTTTCGACAATCAGCATCCCTGGCTGGACAGACATTTCGAGGATGTTTGGCTTTCCCACAGAAGAAGCATTTTATTGTCCCTGAGGCAGCCAGTGATGATTCCTTATAACATTCTTCTTGATTCATCTCTTGATTTAAAGTACTGTTCAAGAATTGATTTTGATGAGTTTGTTGGTAGATTTCTGAGTGTTTCTGAGCTGATTCTAGAGCTCTTGCTTGAGCAACGGCATCCTCTAATTTCAGAGTATTGTTCTGAGTATTGTTCAGAGTATTGTTGTTGGTTTGTTTGTTGACGTATTTGAGGAGATAATAGCCCAGTGATGAATGAGTCTCTAATGTAATCGTTTTTACTTTCTTCTGCATTAACATTACGAAAATTACAATCTTTACTCAAAAGTTTCAGTTTTTGTAAGAATTGATCTACAGACTCCCCAGGTTGTTGCTTGGAAATAGCTAATATATGCCTTGAATAAACTTCATTTTGAGGTTTCACATAGAGGGTCTGTAAAACCTTCACAGCATCTTCATAGGTCTTTGCTTCTGAAATAAATTCATATACGTTGTGACTAATGTAATTTATGAGTAGTTTTAACTTTTCTACGTCACTTACTTTATCAACAGAGGATACAAAATTTTCAAAAGTCCTCAACCAATGTTTGAATTCAAATGCTGCTTTGGTTGTATCAGGTAGACATTCAAATCTTTCTGGTCTTAACAGTTTATCCATTTCTTTCTCTAGTATTAAGTGATTGAATAGAATGGTTTATAGGAAGCCTATAGCTACTGATTCTCAGACTAATTATGATAATATTTGCTTAATAAATTGTAATAAACCTTTAGAGAATAAAACTTAGGTTTTATTAAGCAAAACTGAATACAAGAATTAAACAGAATAAATAAACAAATCTGACTAAAACATTAAGAATGTCAGCTGACATTTTGTACAGTACTTGGAATATCACCACAAGGACACAGTTTGATAAAATTTGCTTTTTTAAATTTACAGTATTCTATAGTATTACACATCTACCATAGCCATAATGTTCTACCACTTCACCTAAACAATAGAGAAAAATAAATTGTCAACAATTCACAAAATATCACAAATTATTTATGAAATGAAAAACATAAACATTAAACATAACTGTAAATAATCCTACTTTGACAGTTCTCATTGCGAATCACAGTTTTTTGTTGCTGCTTAGTTCTAATTAGCTGTTTTCATAAATAACTATTTCAGGAGAGATGCCTAGGTGTTGACTAATCCTTAAAACAAACTCAAAATAAGAAAGACCACCTCTTAGAACTCTGGCAGAAGGTTAATTGCTTACTAAAATCATGACTTTAGTTTTTGTCTTTTGTTAATATGAACAATAATGGTAAAAATAATTAATATAAATTTATATATTTGTTTGAATTCATCAAACATGTTGAGGAAGGTACAAAACGAATGTCGCTTAGTGTCAATAAAACATTCTTAGCTATTTCTGTCATTTCTGATAACTCTTTCAGTGAAGTACTTACTCGACTTACTATAACTAAACTATTTTTTAGTAATCACCAGACAAACTATAACAATCTTATTATCCTAACAGACGGTTCTTACCAATAAATGATGTGATGAGTACAAATAAGACGATAGCGGCCTGCGTCCGACCAAACTCATAGCCTTCTGCAGTGGAGTCAGGCTGTGGTCTGGCCATGACCATCATTACTGACACTGCAAGCATCGGTATCCTGTGAACACAAATAATCAGCCTTCTGATGATAGGAGAGTTTAACTTATAGTTCTCATTATATGACATTTAACTTAAACCAGTGAATTACAATAAAAAGAACTGGTACAATTTATTTTACCTACAGGATTTGTTTCAGGTTATGGATGAAACTTTATTTGTAATTATACACAATAAACCATCCAATGCTCTTCGACCTATTGAACCCCCAGAGAACATATATTGATTTAATCATGAATATATTTTTTTTGTCTTATGGACAAAAATTAAAATATCAAATTTCTTATCAATCACATTTCGAGTGGACACACACAGTATTAATGGGCCAGTAAAAAAATGACCGATCAATCACAAAGAGAAAGAATCGTACTCTTGTTAACTGTCCCTGCCCACCAGATTTAGAAGGGTCTCTACTAACATAACGCGGTTTGACAGATAAAGTGATCGTTTTATTTCATAATTAATAACTCTGTGAAACGAATGTCTTCGAATGGAGCCCCTAAAAAAAGAACATAACACCCTGATACCATGTATTTTAACAATTTATAGCTAAGTATAAGTAAAAAGGAAAATTTCCGGTTTGACTCAATCACTTTTACACAACTACAGTAGAATTTCAATCATCCGAATCGGGACAGGACCCCATTAGGATAATCAAAAATTCAGATAATGGTTTTTTTTACAAAATTCTGAGTCAACGCCTCTGGGACGATTTTGCGATTGGAAAATTTACACTTTCGCCGTGATTGCCGAGTACGATTATGGTTTTCCGTGACCCCGGGAGACAATGATAGTGTCAACACTACAGTGAGATATATTTAACATTTTGCCACAATCGGGAAAAACGATGACAATGTACCATGACCGCAGGAGACGATGATAGTGTCAACATGATTGCGAGACCAGTCATGTTTTGGATTTTGCAGCAATTATGCCTTCTGCCTTCTTTAATAATGATTCATAATACTGGGGTTTTAAGTTTTAATTTTTTAAATTATTTCTGTAAGCAATTTCGATAATCGGCGATTTGGATAGTTGAAGTCCGGATTGTGACGGGTAGTCACCAAAAATTATTTTCTAAATTTTGGGATTATATTTCAAAAGTAAAAGACCTGGTAAATGGATTTCACAATGCATATACCAGTGTCAGAACATTGGCATTTAGTAGACAGAATTCTTGATGACACGTAGCTTGCTCAATCGACCGACCCACAAAAACCGTAGACTTAGCAGTTGTACTTTGGAGAGACTGAGGTCGGCGTTGACCGAAAGGAAGACACTTGGCCCCAGTCATCCACGGGGACACTTCGCCGGTCTCCGGGTTCTTGGTAAGGCCTGTTTCACATCTACCCGGCTGCCGGGTGCCGGGTGTCGTTTAACCGGCAATGGGATGAAGAAGTATATGGGACCGTTCACATATGCACGGCATGTGTCGTGGCTGGTTAATCACTTACCCGGCTGCCGGGTACTAGTCGAGGGATGCCGGGTGCCCCCTCGGCGAAGGCCGGCTGCCGGTGCCGGGTAAACAAGCCGGCTCGAGTAGTGGGTATAGCGACCCAGTTTGACTGTTCACATACAACCGGCACCTGCCGTCTGTCGAGTGCACCAAGTGTACTAAAAGTTCAGCTGTTTGTAGTTATTGTGTATTACTTTTGGGTATTCGTTCGCAAAGTTTTTGTCATGTCGGAAATATACCTTGAACTACTTATTAATTTAGTTCAAGAGCAGAATTATTTAAATTAAATTTAATTTTTACTAAATTTTATGTTATTAAATAACATTGAATTGAGTTTTATCCAAATTCAAACTGAATAAAATAAAAAATCCAAATATAAATACAGTTTGAATAAAAGTTACTTCAAAGTGACATTGCGATTGCTCTATTACGTTCCATTTCCATCCCTACAACACACATGAACACAAGTTTCACAAGCTGGAGTACTTAACTGCCGGAGTGCCGGTGTCGGCGTAATGTGAAAGGTGCACCCGTGCCGGTGCCAGCTAGAAGTCGGGTTAACGGCATGCCGGGTGGATGCCGGGTAGATGTGAAACGAGCCTAAGGCGATTACTTTATTAATATTTCAAATTTATAATTTTTGTGATTGTCCAGGCTAACTTAACCTTTTAAAGTCAGTGATTGATTGATGTTAATCGTAATCATTCTTATAATAATAGATTTCATTTATAATTTGTGTGAATAAATATAGTGACTATTAAATTCCTGTTTGAATATAATAACGTGTCAAAAAGGAATTATAATTATTAGAGTTTTATATATAAATTTCATTTGCTTAGGCCTACTTAAATAAAAGGAGCCTGTAATTATTTTATCATCCATTTTTATTATTGTCTTTATTATTATCTTTATCATATTGTCCATCCACTTTATTTGAATAATGATTAAACATTCTTTTACCTCTCACTAAAGTATTTTTATTATTTTCAATCGATCCCGGTTACGCCCCCGGTCACAATTTCAATCGTGGCAAATGGTGGAGACAGCCGTGTCTTAAGTTTTTACTTTTTACTTAAGAATAGTTCTTTTTTGTGTACATCAATAATTTCTTTTGTTTGAGTTACATCTTATATGTCTATAATTGTTAGGCCTTTGTTATTATTACCTGGACAATCGTTGTATGTTTTTGTGCATGTTAGAAAGTAAGTAATTTCTATTTAGTGTTGTGTTTTATAAAAGTATCATCTATTTTTGATTTTGGGCGCGTGATAAGCAATTTAAGCCGTTTGATATACCCTCGTTGAGAATAAATAGCTTGACGACGATTGAGCTGCAGCTCATGCTTAATTCTCGTTGTTAGGCCTCTGTATTAATCTAGTTTTAAAGTTTTTAGCCACTCTTTCGTTTTATACGTCTTTTACCAGGTATTAGGGCTCGGTTGTAATTAGCTTATTTACACGAATATTTTTGTTTTGTATTATTGAAGATTGCTTATGCGTATTATTTAAATGACGATTGATAACATAAACGCTGTTTAAAGTTAAATTTTATATCTGTTTATGTCTTTTATTTTGTACCTATTGATAGGATGCGATAGGCTTCTATAGCGAGTTAAAAATTAGTAATGTGTTTCTTTAACGTAGGAATGTGTGGATTGATTTTGTTACATTAGCTCTGTGAATTATTTTATTTTATACATTTTTCATGTCATATAACAAAACTATGTGTAATGGCGAGTAATGGACGCACTAAGTTTGTCAGACATTAAAAGCTGTAATAGAAAGGAGGTATTAAACTGGTATAAAAATTTAGGGCTAACTTATCCGGTAGACGCTGATCTAGACTATTTAAGAGGAAATCTTAGATTGTTAAAACTGAAGCACGATCAAGATTCCAAACTTACTTTGTATAGTTCACCAAGTGAGTTTCAAACTTATGATTCAGTTAATGAGTATCATAATGAGATAACTTTAGATAATAGACAACTTCCATCTACCGCTAACCCCGCCCCCGTATATCAAAATACCGACATCCAGACCTTAGGTGCCGGCTCGGGATCGCATACCGTCGACCAGACCAACAGTTCACTTCATACGCTTGAACCTTCAGAAGCCGTCACTATGAATAGGGAAAAATCTCCTTTTTATCAACCTGGAAATTTCATGGGAAAAGCTGGTCAGGATATTCACATATTTTTTAACAAATTTGAGCGTGCATCCAAGATAAACGCATGGGATGATAATAAAAAGGTCTTATATCTTCCCATGTATCTGGAAAACGCTGCATTAAGGTTTTTTTGAAAATCTTGAAGTTAAAAACCCTCAGGCTATCTATGAAGCTTACAAAACTGCTTTCTTATCGAATTTTGCACCGGTTGAAAGCAAAGAACTGCTTATGCTAGAGCTAAACTCACGCGTCCAACAACCTAATGAAACGGTAGCAGAATATACTGCTGACGTTGAAAAACTCTGCCGGCTGGTCGCCACGACAATGGACGAGTCCAAAATCTGCGGTCATATTCTAAAGGGGTTAAATCCTGCGATGTTACAGCAAATTTCTATTTTGGATAATACCACTCTAGGATTGTTAAAGGCGAACATTGCTAAAATCTACTTGCTAAAATAACATCTACTTCTAAATAACATCTAACATAATATCTACTTGCTAATAATAAGGATATTTGGAGTTCTACTGTAATGTACTGTTGCACTAGTCTTACTTAGTTTTATAAAAATAAATAAAGATCAAAACCGTCAGATATTCTTGACGTTGAGGTAATAATTTACCTTTACAGACTTTGGTGTTACAAGGCAAATTCAACACCAATTTAACAAACTTCATTAATGTGAATATATTTCTTAAGACCTCAAAATAGACAATGCTGAGCTCCACTGTATTTCTTATGACATTCTAGTTAAGCTTTTGGGGATTTAAGGATTTGAAAGGATATTTACATCACTAGTTAGAACTGTTACTATATGTTGCTCACCCCCAAGCGATTGCAAGGAACACTGGTTGCAGCCGCACGAGACTACAGATGTTCCGACATTGAACCAATAGGAGAGCACAGGCTAGCAGAGCTGTCCATAGCCTCGCACTCAGGTCCCCAACAGTCTCCATTGCTACGTGTGTGTAGTGCGCCGAGGCTAGTGGGATGTGTCCAATCAGAAAGCCCAGACACCCGACAAGCTAGAACATAACATTTGTGTAATTGTTTTACAATGTCAAAAGTGTTTTGTATGAAAAATAATCAGGATTCTTGTACCTAGTTATAATAAAGAATTGGGAAGTAAGTTGATCTAGTGGAAGAGTGTAGGGCTTCTGTCCCTGAGCTCCTGCATTCGAATCCTGCCAAACGCCAGATAGACTTTCACTATGAGACAATGCTGTAACTAGAGCCTAGCATCCTAGTACATGACTATAGTTCGGCCGCTTAGAAAGCGACCTGCTCCAGCATTGGTTTAGCATTAGCGTGCAGGTCGTTTTCTACGCGGCCGAACTATAGTAGCAACTGATGGTCATCTGTGTTATTGACAAAATAAATAGCTACAAGTAGGGGGAGTGATTACAGATGGAACTGGAGTATCTACTTATAGCCTAAGCCTATTAATTTGTACTTTAAAATTACATAAACTATATGAGATGTCTGGAATTGAAACACAGAAAGCTGTATGTGCTAAATGTTCTATCAAGCCATTTTTGTCGTCGTCGTATGATCTAAATATGTAGTAATTTTTTTACTTTTGGAATTTTTTTAGTACTGTAACATCCATAAAGTGGATAGTTTTAAATTATGCAGGATATCCATATTGGAGTTTAATTGTGATCTTAAGTTAAAAATAGGTATTTACCTTTGTCTCCAGCTCACACTGTTGTAACTTGCGTTACGGCCGTTTTGGTTTTCACTATAATGAATAACCGTAAGTTAGTTGTAATTAGTTGTAACAGAACAGTTTGAGCTGTAGACGAAGGTAAATACCTATTTTTAATTTGATCATGGCTCAGGGCTAAAACATGGTTATATGTGATCTTAAGTACTGTACTAGTGTTTTCAACTTCTTTTTTTAACAAACAATACAAATTTTTCATGCTACAGTTAAATCCTGCAAACTTGGCACTCCCCAACTGGGCACTCTGGATTTCTCCACAAACAGATGAAATTCTGCAGTTTCACTAATTACAAAGTTATTGTATTGACCATTTGGACTTGGCCCTAATTGAGGACATTTAGACCAGGAGACGAGAATCACAATTTCTGACGGCTGGAGTGCCAGCCAGTAGACAAGCCATCATATTTCAGAGTTTTATCTCAATCTCATAAGAAAATTGAATATCACATAGTTTTACAAATATTTAACAGCATCTTCATCTGACCATTGAGTAAAAAAAAGATGCATTTTCTTTTCTTCAGTAGTTGAGGTTTACGTATTTTTATTGTTATGTTTTTGTACATTTATTATCCGTATAGTAAAATATAAATATTGTAAAAAGAACATTTTTTGATGTCCCGTTTTTGTTGTTAGTGCTTTTCTCTAAGCACCCGCTACACCTCGAACTTAGCACTCTTCTGATCAAAATTATCTCAACTTTGTGGGACTGTACTGTACCAAAAATAATATACAATTACTAACACAACAAAGCAATTAAAAACAAATTCTGGTTTAAGACTGGTCGTAAAGTATTGTTAGTCCAGTCATATCAAAAGTCAAATATTTAAAAATATATTTAAAAAATATATTCATGTTCAAAAACCATATTCAATCATATTCATCATAATATTGGATATCAGTGAGACTCTTATCACTACTGATAACAGGCGACCTGCCACTGACAGGCACCACAGAAAGTACATGGGCTTTGCAAACTCTTCCAACCTTCTTAACATAATTCTTTCGTTCTTTTTTATTGACTTCCCTGTTAAACATCTGTTGATAAAAATTTAAATGATTACTAGCTGTTGGCCCGTTCTACATACGGGAATCAAGTAGTCGATTAAAACTGAATATAACTCACAACAGCTAGTTTACACGTACAAAGAAACATTCAGGCAGTTTTAATGGAGAAAATTAAATTGTTATCAGATATGACGTGACCACCTATTTCTTTCATTTGATTACTACGCCTATACGATATGCACTTTAAATCCAATTATTTTTACAATAAAACAGCGATTGTGTTGATTTGAAAAGCCTTGAAGTGGGATTGGCGGTCAACTCACACTCACTGGTTTAAAGTACAGTAGCTACATATCACCTATTGCATACCTTATTATAAGAGCACCTTATTTTACCTCAGTGGCCACTGAAACCTTAAGAGAATTTTGGCCTCCCATTCTCTTCTATCCCTTGCCTCATGTAATGTTGATCCCAGTCTGGAGAAGTCTTTCATTGCTTGGTCCTCCAAGTGGTCGTCTTACTTGTGGTACTCCTTGGAATACATTTTTAAAAGTTGAAGTATCTTCTCTCCTCTACGCATAGTCTATCCATCCGAGCTTTTTACTTCTGGAAAGCACCCATATATGCAGGTGTTCAAACATTCCTCTTAGCTCTCTGTTCTTTTGTATCTCAACCGCCGTTATCTTGAACTGGTCCGTATATTTTCTCTGTACTCTATTCTCAAACCCAGCAATAAGTTTTTTCGGTTCTTGGGTCAGGGCCCAAGTTTCTTAATTATACAGTAGTACTACTGGGATAGTATGGTATATGGTATGAATCGGATTTGGTTTATACTGACACCCTGCAGTTCATTGGACAGTTTTCTAGAGATATACCACACCAAATGACATTTGCATTAACAACAAAAAATTTGATATGCCGACATGGTCCTGCCTGACATCATTAAATAAATCGTCCCTTCACCCATCAATTTTTTGTCATTTTCAATTTCCTATCAATTTCACTGCATTAATTGCTAAATAAATTAGTAAACAAATAAAAGTAAAAACAATAACAAAGTTTGTTTTGAAGTATCTGTAAAGTTAAAATAACATTCATTTGAAAAAAGAAAATTATTTTGTCACCTGTAGAAGGAATTTAAAAAGTAAACACGCTAGTAAGCTAGTAGTGAACGTAATTTTTCTAAGTTTATAATCCATACCGTTATACATTCTAATATCCCTAATAATCACCCACCCTCATTAAATATATATGTACATCGTAACTTCCCATATTCATTTATTCAAATGATAAGATACAGTATTTAGTTGAAATAAAAGTGATAAGCCAAACAACTTTATAGATTTTACAAAAGGACAGTGGTAAATAACCTGTCAGGGGTTTGTGAGTAATTTAAAACCGTGATTCCTTATCATCCTTGATCTCCTTGTTTGGTAACAATGGTAACATCAATATTTCTAGGCCTAATCCAAACAAAGTTAAAGAAGTCAAACATTTATTGTTACAGTAACAAAAAGCTGCCAAGAGGTATTAAAACGGAAACATGGTTATTCTTCTACTCTTTCCTCAAAAAGTCTATCATTAAAATAATTTGCATTGGCTTTTCTTTGGTTTGATATGTAGAGAAGGATATGTGACCGTGAACACAATAACTTGAGTAATATTACATAATAATATATGAAATTTAGCTTGATGGTGTATGATAGGATAACCTTGAATGAGTTTGCTAACCAGTATGATTGGACCATGGCAACGAGGTTTTATGGGGTAAAAATTGGTTTTTCTCATTTTTGACCCACAAAACACTAAATTTTCCAAATTCTCTTTAGACGATTTTCAAGAGCTTAAAAAAACAAATAATTTTGTATGGTAAAGTTTTTTGTACGCTTATTGGTTACGGAGAAAATAAAAAAAAATTTAAATTTTAAATCCCCATGTTATCCTTATGCAGAATATTGTAAACTTCATGGATAGGCTTCCACGGTCGTCACTTATATAAATACAGTCTTAGACTTCAGGGTTCGACCGCGTCCTTAGGTTATGTACACTATGTACAGAAACTACCGACGTTTTGGCCACATAACAGTTAGCCATCTTCAGGGCGAGCGAACACTATCACCGTAGTCACAAAACTCGTTAAAATACTCGTTCTGTGAAACCTGACTTTTGCAATAAGTGTAAACATTAAAAACAAATAAGTAACAGCTGTTTAGAAGTATAATTTGATTTGGTGTTCCTTTTTTGTGATTAGGGGCGATTTAAGGGTTTAATTAGATCAAAAAAGAAAATAATTAAATCTAAAAAGAAAAATCGGTTGACTTCCATCTCTTCCCTGTCCAATTTTATGTAAGTATGCCAAGTTTCAGCTTTCTGGGTCACATTATAAACTTATAAGCTCGGAAATGTGTACAAATACCAAAATTGTACAGTTTTTTCTTGTGGAATTATATCTTTGACTATCATTATATACAGTATTAGGATTGGGATTCCTTGTATTAGAACTCTTATGGATATATTATACAGCAAACTACAGTATTAATGTTTTACAGTTGGTCGTTCATACGCTCAATTAAATAGAAACCATATGTCTGACATCTGAGAAGTGTAATGTGCACATCTGGTACCAAACAGTTACTGCAGTCCAGGTAACGACAGTTTGGATTTATATTTTTTATTATTTGAGTAGATATTTTGCTATCATTGTGTTTTCAAACTTTGAATTTTCATATTTTTATATTGAAGAAACAAGTTTGAATTTCAACAACAGAAAATGTTTGTTCAGTAAATAAATAAGTGGAAGGAATCGATTTGGAAGTGAGGTATGTGCAGCCCTCAGCAGTAACAGTGACTAATGGAACTGAAGTAGAAATCGCAATAAGAAGATAGTAGAATGAGCCACTTATAATGTATGCTACCGTCATAATTGCATTTTCTCATATTTTCTACTTCAACCCAATTTATTTTTATTTATCTATTAATGTATTTTTATTTTTAGGTTATGTCCTCTCATGTAATTTATCTATACCGATAAAATACAAAGCCCTCACTGACTGACTCACTCACTCACTCACCCATTCACTCGCTCACTAATTCTCCTACTTCCCATTTACATAGATGACTGAAATTTGGAACACTGATTTAGACATCAAATAGGAAAACTAAGTACAGTAAAACCTCTTTAATCCGAACCCCCGAAAAATCTGAACGTCCACTAATCCGTTCATATTTATTGTGTGCGTGTGACATCGATGTCTTTGTTTTTGTAACCCTGACGATGCCGTATTTAAGGCGAAACATGTAGGTTGTTAACCTCAATCAACAATTGGATTACTTGACGAGGTTTTGTACCATAATATTATAGTCATGTCCAATTCTTTCTTCCTATTGACTTTGGGCATCTATAAAATCAATTGTAATGTAACGATTGTGATAGCTTGTACAGTGGACAGACTGTGAACTTGGTTAACTGCTTCAAAAACCACATATCTGGGTAGAGGAACAACAAACCGGAAAGATCAAATGTCGCACAACAACTGTTACAAAATGGCCACTCAATAGGAAAAATGGAGTATAGTCTATGTATTTTAAAGAATTGTAAGAAAGGATATGTAATCAATGATTGGGAAGAATTGTATATTTATAAGGACAATGTAAAAATAGAAATAAGCTGATTAATGAACAAGTAAATTTAGACTCCAGTTGTACTTTTAAATATGTATTGGCCGGTGCTTCCGGTAGCCAATAGGATATAAGTAGGAACGCCATTCAAGATTCTTGTCATTCACCTATTGGGTCTGATGATGATTGGAGTGTCTAATCGAAATCGATCAACACTTACCATATTTTTTTATATTTACCGTCTTGTAAGTAACAGTATAAGCGTAAATATATGTTTTAAGAGTTATAAGACGTTTCTTTTATTTACTTTCCGTGACACAAACAATGCTAATCAAAAAGTTATTTAGTTTTTAATAACTGATTTAATGCTCTATCTTTAGTTACTCTTGGATTTTGGCTTAGGTTAATGATATTTTCCTTTTCCTTTTTAATTGTGGAAAGATCCATTTTTTTTATTTGTCACCCGTTATAAATGCACCATTTTATTTTATCATAGCAATGTTCATGTTTGTATGTAATAGTACAATATGTGTATCTACGACCTTCTGATGAAGTGATTATGACATTCTTTGGACGCCTGTGAAAGTTGAAATTAGTTGAGTCATTGCCATAATTTGGATTGCAACAAAGCAGTTATTTGCCCAAATTGGTTCAGATTTTTGACTCTCTACTATATTTGGGCTTGTTTATATATTTTAGTTGAAACAACTATTTAGAAGGCCCAAGAAGAGAAGGTGGGATAGCGTCATCAAAGACATCGTATAAGTGGAAGAGACAAAAAATAGAGAGGGTAGAGTAGTTTTTGGTGTGGCCAAATCCCATCTTGATCATAAATTACCATGGGAGTGAGTAAGCAAGAACATGAAATTAATTTAACAAAATAAAACTGTATGTTCGTGGCCTATTGAATTTTCTCTAAAACAGTACCTATTACAAATCAAAGAGTTAAGCTCACACCAACATTTACTTTTTTGAAAATAGACAAACATTTAGTTTACATTAGTGTACTCCAGTTTAACCCCACATGAAACACAGTAGGATGGCCTTAAATTTTACAGTAAGATTAGAAGTAGACTTGCAGTATTTAAACTTTAAAATTTCATTCCAAAGTTTCCAATGTAATCCGTGTTTGACATGATTTAGAATCTATAAGTGAGTTAAGGTCTATGATTAAGAATAATGCAGAGGAGTAATTTTAACAGAATTTATTTATAACTTTCTTCAAAAACTAAATACCCAGTGAATCTTTTAGTCTATCATTTGTGATTTAAATGTTGAAATTTAACTACGGTGAAATTACTAAAACTAACAAAATCTTCAGGTTTAATTTGAAAACCAAAGATAAAAAGGAATATTCCACAAATTACCTGGGAAATAACGAGGTACATGACCATCCGCAGGTGGATGTTCTGGTAGCTCTTGTTGACTATGAAAACAACCAGCATCCATATCTGGAACAAAACACTCAATCATTTATATATACATCAAATTACAGACAGGGTCTCATGTAGAGGTAAACAATCAAATAATTTTGTATATTGAAGCGTAATTGTAGAATTAAAGGCGGGGCCGCTCCAAAGGGTAGGCCCGGGCCTACCCCATATTTTTGTAGGTATTTATTTAAATTTTAAAATTCCCCCTTTTTGCTCCACAAAGCTCAAACCCCTTGTTCCCGATCAAAATCCTTCTTGATCCTTGTCAGGCATACCCAAAAAAATATTCCTTGAGCCGCCCCTGATTAAATGTTACGGAGAAAATTAAAAAAAAAAACTGTACTTTCTTATTCTTCTAAATAATATTAGAATTCTTATTCTTATAAAGAGAACTTTTTACTTATTTATACAGTTTTATCAAATTTGGCAAATTCTAATATTTTATACTATAGCCTACTATTAAATTTAAATTCTATTAGTTTACTAAATGCAGTGAAGGAGTTTTAAGTGAAGTAGTTGTATGAATGGTAAGTGGTCTATGATTTTTAGTATTTTGATGGTTATAGTTTTCAGGAATATAAATAGGCCTATTCTTGTTTATAATGTCCCTTGTATAACGATAAATTATTTCCATTTGATTAAAGAATGCTTTGAAATACTGCATTATAAATAAATAGTAAATGATTTGTGAAACATCTTTTAATTATTACTACAATGTGGATATGTGAGTGGGAATAAGGTTATTTTATGAATCAACAAAACTAAAGATTAGTATATCCATTATCCAACCTTCCAGAAAATTAGGCCCAGTGCACACAGTGTGACTGTTTTACAACTGTTTAGTGACCTCGGCAATGTATTGCAGTAGGGAGGCGCACACGACACAAATCGTTGTTGGCGATCTCAAAAAACGTTTGAAACCATTCACATACAACCCGGGATTGCAGTTGCGTTGCAGATTTCAGTTGCACGAGACTACAGGGTGTTTTTTTGGTGTTTTGGTGGTATTTTGGTAGTATTTTGTATCTTGTAAGTTCCAAAAAGGTGTCTTTTGTTATTCTGTAAAAAGATTTAAATGTCCTATCCAACTGTGACAGCTCTCTAACTGCTACAAAGAGCCTAGAACTAACATTCTTGCTCAAATTAGGGTCAACCCAATGCTCTCTCTTCGCTGTCTTCGGTATTGATAATAGCTAATAACGTCTTCTTCTTCTGAGTCTGACATAGTAAGCGCACTTAAGGCCTTAAACCAACTTAACTGCACTTAAATACACTCCACTGATTGCACAATAGATGAAACTGTAGTTGTAAACAGTCACACCGTGTGCGCTGGGCCTTATGCAATGGTAACAAACTCTTTCATAACTAACAACAATGACGACATGGTATATGAAATCAAAATCCAAAGCAGCCTCCAAAACATTACTGAGACTGTAAAGCATGCAACAATAGTCTATTGATGTCATGATTACCATTGAAAAGACATTGTCTGAGAAACAAATAAACTTCATTATAAACTTTGATTATACTCTTTTGTACCTATTTACATTAGAATAAGTGACAATCATTTTGACAGGTGTCATGCTTATAATGAAAACAACCAAAGATAAATAGTTAAAAGGTAGACTATGGACTAGAGTGGGATCTACACATGAGGTAGGTTCTTGTTGTTTAAAGGGGAAAATAAGCTATAAATTAAACATTCCCATGTTACATTTAAAGTTCCTTTTAGAATAAAATACCCTCGCCGCAGCAAACCTGCAGACTAAGCGAATTTCCATTTGCATGATTAAATTTTCAGTTTAGTATATTAAATAACATAAGGTTAATGTTTTTTGTTAAAACTAGTAAATGTTTTGTTAAAACTATTTTTATTTTATTTTATTTTTACATTCCAACGGCCAAAGACCATTAAAAAAAATGATTACAATACTTATAATCTTAAATTAATAAATAAATATGCAGTTATATAATTCAATAAATAGATAATTAACAGGAAAATGTAAGATAACTAGGTACTGTAACAAGTTTTTGTCAAAAACGTTTTGTTTGAAATGGTTAAAAAAGTACCAAGGTTTTGTTATTCATTGTCACCCTTTATTAAAAATTACAGGGTGTTCAAAAAATGTGGGGACATATGTTATGTAGTGATTCCTTGTGTCAAAATAATGAAAAAATTGAGAATGACATTTTTTCCTAAAGCGCTTCATTAACCAGATATCTGCCTTTTTGTGTTTATATCTACAAAATTTTTCAACCGATCTTTATGAAACTTGGTATTAATGTTAAGATAGAAGAGACCCATGTTAGCTGAAGGTAACCACTCATAGTCAAGTCTCCTTCTCTTTCTGTCAACCAAATTAATTGATAGGAAACACTGATATTCTATTGATGACTATGTCTCTGGTACTTTTTAGTAGTGTACTAAGACAAATGTTAAATATATTAGTTTGAAATGTCAAATGTGTCGTATGAGTGGAATTATACAGTGAATCTAGACTTAAGAAACAGTTTGAGCTGTTTTCTGCCAAACATGTCTGTACTAGCAATAGTTGACAGCCACAAGTGAGCATTTCAAAAAAACAACAGTTAGCCTAAATATAGCTTAACTAACCCTAACATTGTGTAACTGACTCTTCTGTAGTTTATTAGGATCTAAACCCATTGTGAATGGGGCCCTTATGAAAATGTTTTAAAAGGGCCGTTTTGGGTAATAAGACTTAACAACCATCCCTTTCCACATGCTAATAAACATACAGGGTAAATTAAATAGCACAATCATCAAATCATCTAATGGCATTACTTTAAAGCAACATCATGTAATTAAGGCATGTCTATCAACCAACTAAGCTAGAAGGCTAAAGCTAACATGTTCCCCTCTAAGTGCAGCCAGGTAAGCAAGTAAGCTACCATCCAGGCTCCTCTGTGCAAGTACCCATTGCTGTTTCAGTAAAATCTAACTATTTTCTTAACACTTCCACTCAGTTTGAAACCCTTATGATTGCTGCTAATGTGGTTAAAATAATTATAGTTGTTGTTAAATGTTTTCCTATAATCTGGTCATTCCTGAAAAATCATTGAGTATTGATCTCAGAAATACTCACTATTAGTGTTTGCAGGGCATAAAATAACATGTAAACACAGTGTCGCCCAGTGCTGAGATTTTGTCGCCCAGTGGCTATGGATGGTGCCGACATATTTATTTTAATGATTCACATTTAAATGTATTGGGATTTTTTAAATGTATTGGGATTTTTTAAATGTATTGGAATTTTTTAAATGTATTGGGATTTTTAAAATATTTATAAAATAACATTGTGTAAATATTTCTAGAATTCGTAATTAAGTGAGATTATTTGGACGATTTACAAGAAAATATAACAATAAAAAAATTCATTACAAGATACGTAGAAATGTGTGATTTTCACTTTAATACAAGCAAAATTTTTCCGGGGGTCCCCGGACCCTCTTTTAGATCCCCGCCCATCGGTAACCCCAGCGCCACTGTCGCCCAGTGGAACACCCATAAAATATGCTCTGAGTGTTTGTGACTTACTAAACTCCTTACATTCAACAACAAAAAAATTACATGTAATATGACTGTTTGAAAGAAAAAGATACCAACTGATTATAAAACACTGGTAGTTCTCTATCCACAACTATTTCTCATTATACTTCTATCTATACAACTCAAAAATGCAGCCACTATACAAACTAGTTTTAGAAAACAAAACAAAACCTTTACTGTTTTTATCTTAAGTGAAGGAAATGAGAAATTTTAAATGTATAAAAGGAGATACTAAATACCTGGTAAGGGAGATTAATTTTATAATTCGTAAAAAAATATATAAATTCAAGGTTAGAGATATGTTTTTTTACACACAGCTTGAGTAAGAACAACCTTCTACACTTTTTATCAACTATCAGGTAACAGTTTAGACTAGATGGACAAGTCTCGAATATTTTGAGAAATTTGCGAGATAAAAAAAATCTTGTTGGTTCGAGTGAGGCTGAGTTAGCTTCGAGACTTTTTAAGATGAGATTATAAAAAAAAACTAATAAAAATTACCATTCTCTATTCATTTTTCTTCCTCCCAACTCAATGAATCCTCATTACCACTGAGATCAGAAATAACAATAACAATATACAGTACAAGCTACAATTCTTTCATCTTCATTTCTTTGTAGTGGGGCGTGGCCGTCATATAGGCTAAATAATTGCAATTACGTTTTGTTTTTTCAACAAAAATTAAAGTTTTGTTTTTTGTAGAAGATGTAATACTGCAGTCACTAGGCCCACCAATGTAACATTAAGTCAACATTCGCTAGATAATCTATTTTAGACTGTTTTTGTTGTGATACGGTTAGTTGTAATACACAGAACAGACTACCCATGTGATATAAAAGTTTGAAGCCAAGAAAATAGATGAAGTTCAGAACCATCTCACCAGAATTTACCAGTGTATTGGAGGTATTGGGTTGAATATTAATTCAAACCAATGCAACATCATAGCAAACAGCTGATTGATTTATCACTTAACACAGAATATTGTCATTAGTATCTCAACATCCCATCTCAACAGATTGCACCACGTTTTTTTGGCTACAAATTTTTATATTACATGGGAAGTCTAGGTTGTAGTGTACATATTACAGTTTCACATTGTAAATATATCTTTTTCCATTTAATTTGTTTCTTATTTAAGATTTTTATAACTATTTCAGTTCCTGTAAGCTTTTTTTTATTTTTTACATTCTTTTTATAACAACCTTTCTAGTATATAATTAGTTATCGCTCTTCAGTTGTTGTTTTAATTATCTTTTATTGTTATTTATTAACCATTTTAAAATTGTGTTAACTAATAATTCCCAATTGTAATGAGATCTATAATCTCCTCTCGATCTTGTCTCAAACTTAAAATCCAGTCTTGTCCATTCCTAGTCAAAACTAGGAAAAACGTGATCACATGATCACAATTTTGCAAATTTTTCATGACCACAACATGACTTCATGTTTGCAGCTTTGTCAAAACAAAGCTACAAACTTGGAATTGACTTATCTATATATATAAAATCCAATGTATGTTTGTATGTTTGTATATTTGTATGTTTGTCCTTTATGGACTCCAAAACCGCTCGACAGATTGTAATGAAACTTTCAGGCATTATTAAGCATTATTCAAGGTGTGAAGTTTGGTGCAGATCCGTCAATAGGGCTCCGCCCCAGTGGCTCTGGAGTTTTTCATGTTAACCTTATGAGTACTCATATTTAAATGGATATGGAATTAAAGAATCTTAACAGCTGGTGCAACTAAACAATTTGATTCTGTGATGTTCAATAGCATTAAAAAGTTAATAGGTTTACTAACAGGGTGCAGCACTATATTTATTTTTAAATTATGAGAACAGCTAATTTGCAACCAAAAGGTGAGTGAGCGTAGCGAACGAACTTCAACCTGGAGGCGAGTTAGCATAGCGAACGAGCTAACCTGAAGGCAAGTGAGCGCAGCGAACGAGCTCCAACCTAAAGGTGAATGAGCGTAGCGAACGAACTTCAACCAGGACGTGATTGAGCCATGCGAACGAGCTCATCTTGAAAATGAACGAGCATGTGACATAAAACCACAATAGGACAGGACGACGTCTGTCGGGCCAGCTAGTCAAGTATAAACTCTAATAAAAACACTAATTTAACTGATCATGTGACATTTCATTCCATTGTTAAAACTGTCGCTAGTTTTCTAATCAAAATTGACGTAGTTGGATAGAGCTACTCACTCACACATTGTTATGATGTAATTTACTGATTTTGTCGAATACATCATCTTTTTAAACAAGTAAAACCCAGGGCTGTTCAACTAAGTTATTTTAAAGAATATATAAAAACCTACTCCTAGTCTATAAAGATCGCAGACTTACTTCAGTGTACAAAAGTCAATATAAACACAAAATAAACAATTAAGTAAATTAAACATAGCTAAATAACTTTTTTGATTGGCTGGCTGGATATAATAAATTCTCTCACAATGTAAAGGTCAGATCAATTTGAATTAAAGTGTGAGAAAACTCTATGGATTCAGTGTCTCAATAATTACTTATCTGTTTAGCCAATGATAATTTGATGTAGAGACCAAATAACAATAACAAACTATGCAACCAAGCATTAAAAAACTCATTAACTTGTCCATAAACTAACACAAAAAATATTGTAGAGGGGATTTCAGGATCATGCTGATTAATACACATGCATCGTACTTTTCAGAACCGTGCAGATTCATTCACATGCTCTAACCATTAATATTCAACATGCAATTACAACAGACAACATTTCACAAAATAATTTATTTTTAACAAAAACATAACACTACTTTACACTTCAGGAACATATTGGACTAGTTAAAACAAACAAATTACTACTTAAACAAATAATATTACAGGAACTACTTTTTTACTAAATTGTATACAAACACCACAATCAAGAATATGTAGAACATTATAATGGCGGGGAAAAGCAAAGCGACAAGACAGGTGGCGGAAAAAACACCGACCCATAGAGAGAGGAGAACTTGCGCGAGAGAGACGACGTGGGAGAGAGAGAGGTAGACAAGGGAGAAAGAGGGAAAAGACATTTGAGATACAGCTGGACTTACAGCAGCCAGGGACGCCACGACAGAGATGTCAAACTCAAACAGACTCAGCGTCTTCATGAACTGGTCAGGGTCCAGGTTGGAGGCGATGACCATCTTGGCTGAGGCGAACATGAGAGGAGCGGAGAGAAAAGTGCAGGCCACCATCGCACACGCTATCTGTGGGGGAACAAATAAAGCGTTGTGACATTTGAGGACCAAGTAAAATTAATCTTTTCATATCTCAAACCTTTGTGTTGAAATAGATCAAATTCCGGTGCCCAGGTGTACTACATGCGGTGTCTTGCACTGCTCGATAAATTTAACATTGGTTGATTTTGACACTAGGTAGGTCAGCTTTAAAACACTTTAACGTTCGGAAGGTCATCCAAATATAATTGTGATGCCTTTCTACAATTGCACTTTTGAAACTAAAATAATGTTGAGCTGGGGGAAGAGAGCTGCCGAACTTAAAAGCTGAGAAAGGCAGCCAGTGGTGCTGTCCACGCAAGTAGCAACGGCAGCTGATGTTGAAACAATTCCCCAGTTTTTACGTCAATGTACAAGTTAGTATGACTCGCCAATCATGTACAAAGGAATCAATAATTTCAGTTTATAAACATATCCAATATGTAATATTGATATCAATTACAATTTGTCTTTCCACCCGTTATATAATTAAATACTAGACTAGTTGGATGAGCTCATGTTCTATTCATAACAGTTTATAGGAAAGAAGACTAAGGGTCAGGTTGCTGACCTAATTCAGTGACAAAAACCAGGAAAGACGCATTCAAACTTAACTAAAGAACCAAAATTTTGATAGGATTTAACTAACTATGTTTACCTCTTTGTACTGTTTGTATTTCCCGCATGTTAAATTATTTTTTACTTTGATTTGTTTGAATTAAGTCTCCGAATCACTGATCAATACGTGTACCCTAGAGTCTAGACTCTTCTTCCGTGTTGCCTGCTGTTTGACCGATCGATAATAGTTATTGGCCATTTTTACGTGTTTTGTGTTCAAGTGTTTTGTAAAAAAGACTTAATGTTTTCTTTTAAATCAACATGTTCACAAGCACAAATTGAAGATGACGATTTCCGCCTGAAGATGATCCCGTGAGGATTGAAACCGGTCGCCTTTCAAGGTCACAAGAATCACTTGACAGCAAGTAATTTTACCAGTACACGTATTTTTTACTTTTTCTGAATACAGTTTTCAGCTCATAGTGAAGTAAAGATTTGTTTTTCCTTTTTCTTGTAATTGAAAATCATTTAACAACCCTTTTCTACAGTTCAACTTTTTTCTGTGTGACGAACATAAAAGATCGGGAAGGAAGGACAGATAAGTTACAAGTACTAACCAGATCAACATCAAGTGCGTATCTGGTGGCATACACAAAGACTCCAGGAGCCGAGGGGAAGGTTCCGTACAAGAAGCCGTACGTACTGAGATCCTCAACTTCAGTCTTGTTATGTTGGCTAAACTGTAGCACCAGGCTGACCACTTCCCGAGTGACTAGTGGCAGTGCTAACCTACAAACAATCATCAACAGCATTCATCAATTGATATTGATATGTTTTAATCCCATTTATGTTATATATGGATAGTAGAAATTCTATACCTATTTTTCTTAACCTAAATAATATGTTGTAAAGTCATGTAGTGTACAGGTTTTTTTATTGTTAGGCTTTTTTCATGCTTGTGTGCTTTTTTACCCTTTTGCAACACATGTTTTATAGAAATTATCATATTATTCTATTCTTATATTCATACATAAAAATACTCGTACAGTTTAACAGCAATGAGTATTCCAGGAACTAAGAGAGCGAAACCGTGTAACTTCTGAACTTTGCCAACCATCCGGAGTCCCAGCAGGAACAGCGCTGTTCCAGTGAACGCTGATCCGAACACCTGTAACGAGAGTGATTGAGATTATTGAGTGTCAACTAAATTAATTTTTACCTTAAAATTGGATGAATAGTTTTTTTTTCAAGTTTTCTACAACCAATCCTTTCCAATATTCATGTCTGTCAACTGACAATGGAATTTGATTTTAGGCCTTAGATCACAGAGATCTAACTACAGAACACAATTGTAACGAGGTGGTAGCGTTGATCGTTATCGGCTACGACAAGACTATTTGTCACAGAGGTGTGAGGACCAATTAGAATAGCAGTTGGAGAGTTAAAGAGAGTAGCACGGTGTAATATCAGAACCAGAACACTTTACTGCAGTTTAAGCAGGTTTACGGCTAATTTTGAACTAAAATTTACTTATTTTACTTTAATTTACTTACATTCAACACGTCTTCCAGCACCTTGGGCAAGGCATGCTTGAAGAGAATGTTGGCGATCATGCCGAGAGTGGTCATGAACACTATCGGGTTGGTAGCAATGTTGCGGGCGATGTTGGTAACAGTGGTCCACGTGGAGGGGGCCCCCTCGCCTGCCCGATGTCTTGACACTTCCATCAGCACAAAGCCGAAGGGGTTGAGGATGACTAGTGACACTGGAGCCAGCAGATACAAGTAGCTGACATAGTCTGGGTGTAACGTCTTGTACAGGGCAACAACTATAGTGAAGGTAGACAAATTAGCTGACAATTCCTTGTAACATCAACAAGATAAGCTTTGCAAAGGCGAGCCATGAATTGTGAAAATTTAAACCAAGGTTGATAAAGGGTATCAGAGAGAAAAATGTAGGGGTAACATCTATTGAAGTCCTCGTTTGTCATTTAGTGCTCCTCTCACAAGCATAAAAGTTCAGCAATTTTATACATTAAAAATACGCCTATTATTTAATGGAGGACACAGTTAATATAATATAAATTAGATCGTATTATATTAAATTCTTTAATATTCAAAATTGCATCTAAACTCATTCCCCACAAAATTTTTATTTATTTTCGATTTTTTGATTACAGCATGATTTCAATCAACGATAACTAACACTAGCAAGATTAGAATCAAGGGGTTCTAATAGATTACAAAGTCATAATAAAGTCCAAAAAACTGAAAATTATCAGTCAACATTTGTAATAAAATACAAAAAGGTGTTCACGATAATCCAAACGTCCTTACCAATGGGGAATCCAATAGCAAAGTCGTTACTCTGTGTGCAGAAGATTGCGTAGAGGCCGGCACGAGCGGGGCTGAATGGACGAGAGACTAGTAGTGTTACTAACACCACAGACAGGAATACCTGCATGGAAACAAAACATTTCCATTTCAAAAGACCTATCAGTGATTGTTCTGTTGTTAGACTTCTTTCATTGTTCAAAAGTAAATGGCATTATACGATTTGTAAATATAGTGTTTGCAATGATTAGTCCTTTAGTTATAAATTATTCAAATTGAATTTTTATTGAACAAGTTTATGTAGCACATAACCAGCTAGCACAAATTAAGGGAAAAGAGTTATTATACTAGCATAAGATTTAAAGGTGAATTTAAGGGCAAAATCAATAGTGGAAATGACAATAATTTTAATGATCGTTCAAAATTTCCATGAATAAAAAAAAACGCTTAAGTGTATCTAAAGGAACTTTGAATCAAAAATGAGCTTTAGAGTACTCTATAACTAACTATAAAACTTCACAATTGATAGTCTAACAGGAGAGAAACAAACTATTGAGCTTCTTACATTACTACTCTACAAACATTTTGAAAGATATTGACAATAATTGAGTCTTAAGAACACCAAAATCTTATATGTTAGAAAATCTCCCAAAATAGTTTACTTACCAGGGCTTTTGAGACCAGAATAGCGACAAGAAAATACCAGTTGACATCGGATAGTTCAATTGATGCGAGCGATAGAAATATAAGAGAAGGAAGAGAGAAAGTTCCGACAAAAGTGTTAAGGCCTGATGACTGCTCCTCAGTAACAACTCCAATCCTTCCAGCAAAATACCTATTGTAACAGAAAATTTACTATTAACTTTTGAAGCAAAGGGTTGAATTTTCACATTATGCATAGGGTAAACTCAAAATAACTGTTTCATTATAATTGTGCAAGACGAACATTATAGTTTTTAATTAAATGAACATTTGTAAAATAGTTGTAGATGTTTGTTACTAACAGAATTTGCAAGTAGATTTTTTCTAGTTCATTATCCAAGGTACCCTGACACAAATATCCAAATATTCCACTTAAAAACCTTAGAATCATTGTAAGTGTAAGTTTTAATCTCCTGCATATATATACTTCAATACAATAAGGGTTTCTCTGTAAAATTCCTTTTCCAGATGAACAACTTAACTGAATTTTACAATTTTGGCTTGTTTATTTTAAAGCTTCTGTTTTAGCGGAGCGAGGAACGTTAACTTACTATACTTTATGGCTTTGTCGCGGCCACCTTTAACTCCAGGCCGCGGCCTGGTAGAATTGGCAACGTTGCACGTAGTGTTGTCTAGTGCCAGACGTCCCATAAGATAACATGGCAGACAGGTGTCACCAGTTCATTAATCTGCATATTACTCATTTAAATTTAAGTTTATGAACATAAATATACTAAAAAATTGAAAATAAATCATATATCATCAGAAGTGTCGTTCTGATGCCAATAGGTTCGCGCTGATCTCTTACATTTTGGTGCGTGCGTACTTGCCAACTCAGCCGGCGTCCAGCCGTGACAACAGGAACGTCCTCATTTTGCCCGTTTTTTTACAATTCTTACTTAAAATGTGCGCTGCGTTTGAAAATACCGCCAGGTGTGAGGTGCGGTCATTCAGTTTAAAAATGGCCGAACTGACGTTCTTGAGTCATGACAAAACAAGACACCCAAGCATTGTGACTGATGGAACTGGTCGCTTAAGTTGATGAAAAGGTTTGCAAAAAACGCAGATTCGCGATAACAGAGTTATCGATTTGTTTCCCTCAAGTTACACAAACATTGTTGTTTGAAATTACCTCACACAAAAACAGAAGATCCGTTATCGTGAATCGGCATTTTTCGCTAAACTTTCATCAGCTTAAGTGACGAGTTCCATTAGTCAAAATGCTCGGGCGTTAGCCCTTTGTTTCGTCATGACTCATGGACATCAGTTCGGTCATTTTTAAACTGAACTCGCCATTTTCGCACAGAACTTTTCTTCATTATGTTCTTTCCGTAAACTTCACAAACATGGCAATAAATGTCTATTGGTTTCAGTTTTTTGCCAAAAAAACCGTATCCCTGACCGCACATCACAACTGGCGGGATTTTCAAACGCTGCGCATATTTTAAGTTAAAATTGCAAAAAAATGGTCAAATAGAGGATGTTTCTGTTGACACAGCTGGACGCCGACTGAGTTGCCGACTCTGCCGAGTACGCACCCACCACAATGTACGAGATCAGCACGCTCCTAGTGGCGTCAGAACTAAACATTCCTTACTTTCTGAAAAGCCCTCGTAGAATTAAAAACCAAACAATACGGTATTTAAACTGAAAATCTATTTATGTATATTTAAAGTGCAGTAAATATTTTCAAAGCCCAGTAACCAAGCGTTCATATATTGCAATAGAATCGTTTTATTGTCACCACTGCCTAGCAACTGTGTTTATTATTATTTTTGCTGATTCCTCAAATTATGTCTTCACATAACCTTAAAGTTGTACTTGTGTTGACAGTGTGCATTATTATTGTGGTGAATATTGGTAAAAGTGGTATAGTGAGGTGAAAAATAGCGTTCGTACCAAGGACCGAAATGGTTTTGCAGCTCTAGATCGTTTTAAGTTCTCGACCTGGTCTCGAACTTAAAAACTATCTCGAGCCGGCAAAACCTCATTTTCGGCCCTAGGTACGAAATATACTATTAAATAGGCTGCTTTAATTATTAATTGTAGCCTGATTGAGGTAGGTAAGCCACTCTCTAAGGTAAAGATCTAATTTAATTTATTGTTAATTAATAGTTTTATAACTAAACTTGAAAGGTAAAAGGGTTGCATTATTTACTTTGCATTATTAAGTATAAACCCTATTGAAATAAGTAATTTGCACACCGGTACCTTGTTAGATTTTGTTACAATGGCAGGGCGAGCTGATTTAAATAATTAATCCAGTCATCTAAAAAAATAATATACGATTCAAATTACCGGTACTGTTGATTTCCGTAATAGATCATATTTTTTTTATAATACAAAGGAAACAAGTTGAAAAGGTTAGGGGTATATATAGTGGGAGGTGTAATGTTGTACCTACCCGGATATTATGACAGCAAAGCATTGTGTGAGGGCTGGGTAGAGCTTATCCAACGTGGTCAGCAAACTGGACTCCATCTGAAACCAGAAATATTTCTTAGCTCATTGGCTGATATTGATTGTCTAGTCCTACTGACCAGATGAATACCCAGTAAGAATAATGTGAACTATTGAAGTATTATGATGTTGTAAAGTTCTGTGATATTCTTTGAGATTAACAAGCTTGTACATACAAAAAACCAATCAGATGAGTCAGAACACTTTGTTGTAGTAGTCACTTTAATTTAGATTTCCAATAATAAAAGTACCAAAAGAGGCATCACTGACATTTGGATATTGATGGATATTGAAGTAGACATCCCATCTATAAGGACCATGATTAAAGTGTCCTTTCAGTCTGGCATTGTCAAAAATTTTGCGTTTTTGACAGAAGTACCCGATTATGTACATCAATGCACTATGACTTTGGTTCAATACAACATTTATTTTTATTTTACTAAAACTTTCTACAACTGTAACATGGGAATGGACTATTTAGTTCTATACATGTAAAGGAGAACATGTTCTCTGAACATGATTCTCTTATCTAGTGTTTAGATGAGCCTTGGATCCATGCATGGAACGGAAGCAAAGTAAGGGATGGTTAGGTTAGAGATTCTATGACCCTCTGACCAGGATTTGTAGATGAGTTCCAATGAATGAGATGAGAGTTTTGTTTTGTTTTTTTTTCAGAATCATTGGCCAATAACAACTGGGTCTGGGTTTGAACCATTTGATTACTAGGCTAAAAACTATAAGGTATCCCCTGTATGGTGGAGGCAAACGCTCAACATCGCTGCCTTGGATTTGTAGACTGTCACACTACAAGACAAGATACGCACCATACTTATTATAAAGTACACTCTAGCCTAACTTTATAGCCTAGTATAAAATTGATTTTCTAGAAAATCAAATTTGTATGATGAATTAGAAAACCTTTTTCAAGAATACTCTATCTATACTATGATAAAAATTAATGGTGTATGTCTGTTTGTCTATGATTGAATTAAATGTAATCATTGAAGGCTAACATTTTATGAGATGGTCTTAACTTAGTTAACATTGTGAAGCACAGATAAAGCAGCTAGTAAAATAATAAAAAAGAAAATAATGTTAACTGTAAACCAATAAGCTGTCAAAATTATACAAACAACTAAACATTGTAATGCATACAGTATTACAACACGTGGAATAAGACTTGTTCAATCATTGTATTGAAAACTTACATTTCATTTAACAGGTAAATAAGGTGAATTATTTTTACACAGGTTAAGGTCAAGCAAGAACAAAAAATAAAATTGGACACTATACACCATACAACTACATAATTTTGGTTGTACTGAAGTAAAACATATGAAACATGGAAATGAACTGAGTCATTGGCTCTGGTGATAACAGAAATGGTAGGAGCTGTCAGGGTAAATTGTAAATTACAGTGATTACGTATATTGACTTTGGTAGAGACAGACTTTTATCAGATATCACATGTGGAAATACCTGTTATGGGGATATAACAATATACCTCTTCCAACATTTGTTGATGTATACTTTTACAGATATCGTAAACATTTGCAAGAAATTGTTGCTAAAAATGGTCTACATAAGATTCAGTTATTGATTTGATGGTAGAATTCTTCACCCAAAAAGAATAGGTAGATAAGTCATTTTCATTTAACTGAAGAGTTATTGGTATTCCTTTTTACTTTCTCCCCCATACCATAGTATATGGAGAAAGTATTGTTTTCAGAAAAATTTTCAAGATTGAGTAGATATATCTGTTTTGGGTCCCCCTACACCTAAAAAAGTGGTTGATTTTGATTAAGTTTGGTTTGTTTTGTAGGTACTATTCCATGGTATCTTCAGGCTGTTGATTTTTAATTTTTTTGAAATTTCGATTATAATCGTGATTTTTCCACAAGTCCCATAACATAACGGAAAAATCTAAGTTTCTCGAAAATGGTCGGAACGATTTTTACACAAATTAAGTATGTTACAGCCCCTTAAATTCTTAACCAAAAAATGGTTGGAAATGGTTTTTTATTGTTGTAAAAATTACGGCTTAAAAGTTATTGTAACTTATGTTATTTTCCCACAAATCCCCCATGAAAAAATGAATCTGATTTTCTAAAGAAACCAATAAAAAAAAATAGTAGCTTATGGTCCTTATAGTTTTAAACAAAATAGTGCAAGCCCCATTGCTGTAAAAATTCTGGTTTAAAAGTTATTACAACTTTCACAATCTAATATATAAAATTCTCGTGTCACAGTGTTTGTCTGCAAACTCCTCCGGAACGACTTCACCGATCGTTATTAAATTTGGTGTGTAAATTCTGTAGGTATGCGAATCGGACGTAAACTATTTCCCGTTTCGAAATTCTTAAAAGGGCTCCGCCCCAGTGGCTCTGGAGTTTCCCATGTTAACCTTATGAGAAATGGAATTAATGAATCTTAACAGCTGTTTCAATTAAACAAGTTGGTTCTGTTCTATGATGTTCAATAGCATTAAAGTTACAAGGATTACCAACAGGGTGCAGCACTATTATTTCTTTTACATTTATGACAACAGCTAATTTGCAACCAAAAGGTGAGTGAGCGTAGCGAACGAACTTCAACCTGGAGGCGAGTGAGCGTAGCGAACGAGCTAACCTGAAGGCAAGTGAGCGCAGCGAACGAGCTCCAACCTAAAGGTGAGTGAGCGTAGCGAACGAGCTCCAACCCTAAGGTGAGTGAGCGTAGCGAACGAACTTCAACCAGGACGTGATTGAGCGATGCGAACGAGATCATCTTGAAAATTAAACGTAACGGTACTTTCTTTCCATCGGTCTGTCTTAGGGGAAACCTATAACTTAGGCGATACGAAGTTCGCCGGGTCAGCTAGTTTTTCTATAAAATATCATAGTTACTCCCACTGCTTACCCATGATAAAGTTTGCTGACAAGCTAATGGAAGAAAGTAGCCTATGTGTCAGATTGATGATACCATTTATTTTTACTCTACTATTATTTAGACTAGAATTTTCTCAGTAGTTATACTTTGTAGCTAGTACAATAACTGTTATTAGAATTAACAGTAACACTGAATACTGTCAATTCTAATCACTTTCGAACAAATGTGAATAACAAATAGAATGATTGATATAAAAAAAATTAAATTACATAAGCCTACCGTTTATAAATATTAAAATGAAATTTGCTGATCAAGAAATCATGAAAGCTGTTTTGTCAATAAAATATGTATGAGTAGCTCCAATGGTTTTTTTTAATCATATGCAAATGTATTTAAAAAACTCAACAGAATACAAACAGTATACACATTTTTAATACATGTATTGAACCATTTATTACAGCACCGGTAGCTAAATACTTGACAGACTTTAACACAGCAAAACTGCACCATGATTTCTTAAGTTACTGTTTTATACATTTTAGAAAAAAAATTTACAACAAACATATCTGCCACAAAGTGAAGATTATTTTAAACAAATAGCAAAACATGCATGAAAATTTGTTTTGAATTTCAAATGAAATAAACTGTATTTTATGAAGGCAAACGTCTGTTTAGAGAATTATCCTACTAATATTATAAGTGAGAAAGTTTGGATGTATGGATGTATGTATGTTTGTGACAAGTAAACACAAAAAATACTGATCGGATTGGGCTGAAATTTGGCATGATGATAGCTCACATTCCCGATTAACATAAAGGCATATTCTTATCTAGAATTTAGTCAGCAAGCTGTTTCAACTAAAAAAGTTGGTTCTATAATATGCAACAGCATTAAAAATTTACAGTATAAGATTTACCAACAGGTTGCAGCACTATTATTTTTTTCATTATTTATTAAAACAGCTAATTTGAAATTAGCAGCAACAAAAAACTGTGATACACAATGAGAACTGTCAAAGTAGGATTGTTTACAGTTATGTTTATGTTTTTAATTTCATGAATAATTTATGATATTTTGCGAATTTTTTATAATCTATCTTTCTCTATTGTGTAGGTGAAGTAGTAGAACATTATGGCTATGGTAGATGTGTAATACTATCGCATACCGTAAATTTGAGGAAGCAAATTTTCTCAAACCGTGTTTTCTCACATCGCAAACGCAAAGATCGGGTATAGCTGCAATAAGCATTTTATACTTATTTGCCAACCCCGTACGAAGGACGGGTACTCTGCTAGTCTTTTGTATAGTAACTGTTAACGACTTTACTGTGGATTTGTTGAATATAAAATTTGAGTGAGAATCTGAGAAAATGAGAGCTGTAAAAAACTTAAATGATTATTTTTAATGAACTCACTATGTATGATGACACTATGTAAGTAAATTTTTTACATTCAAACATGAAGAGTGATTTGATAGCATCAGAGATAAAGTTCGAGTAAAAGAGATATTTACACTCTATTACATGGTTAACGTAATCACAGCTACTGTAAATGCTCCATATGTATACCAGCCACAACACAAGTTTTCATGATTCAATATGATGACAGCTGGTAATCAATACAGTACAATATTGACATTGCCCGTTCATTCGGCATGACTTAGTCTGAAACTATTGCTGTGGAATATTAATATCCCACTTTGCTGTCTTTATTTTAGATTGGATTTAGCAAATTTCTCACATAGGGAAGAAGCAATTACCATAGCTTGGATTCTGGGCCGATTAAATTTTACATTTTGATGTCTCCAGATGTTAAAATGTTTATATGTGACTTATATTTATACTAGTAGTTATACCTAACAGGAAAGAATAATTAAGATAATAATGTGAATTTGTAAATCTACTTTTACAAAAATTTACACACACTTACCATGCAAATTATAATGAAAAATCTCAATCGTACTTATTGCTTTATATTGAAATGGTCTAGAGAAAGTTTAGGTTTTAGGTTTTGAGGGTCAAAAATGAGAAAACCCAATTTTTACCCATAAATCCCCCCATAAACCCGTTCCCATGGTCCGATCATGCTGGTTCGCAAACTCGTTCACAAATCCATAGTTATCATGCATTTTCTCTGTTGCCCATAGCTTCATG